CCCACAGTGAACCAGACTGGTAGACTGACTCAGACCGTGCTGTTGAGCTACCCTGGGAAATTTAGGGCACACCACCCATCTGATTATCCCTGACATCCCGTCTCGTGTGCTGCGCCATGGGACACAGTGAGATGGGAAGTTACATCCTTTGGAGCTGCCAAGGGGCTGTCTTAGGAATGCCAAGGATGCTCTGGCTTCAGACTCCCTGTCAGTCTTCAGAGGCCCTGTTACCACGTGGAGCCTGGGACAAGGACCACGTGGGACAGAGCCACCATGAGGGGCCCATCGGCCTGAGAAGGATGACCTGGCCATAGAGAGCTTTGAGCACGGTCAGCAGAGGAAGTAGATCTCTACCAGGGCCCCTGATGGACAGCACAAGGACCCCAGACCATGGCTACCCAAGAGCAGGGAGCCTGCACTTACCACACAGTGTCCTTGGTCTCCCCACGGGCACCTGCGGGGAGAAGCAGATCACTGTGCCAGGAAGGGCAGTGCGCTTTGTCTTCTGGGGAGTGTGGCCACCATGCGGAGGACAGATTGTATCCCAGAGACCAGTTTCCTCTTCCGGGAGCTACTAGTCTTTTCTCCTCAATTCTTTATCCATTTCCTTTTCCTGATGCACACACACATCCTCACAGTCACTCCAGGGATCTCTTTGGGTGGCAGTGTGTTATGTAGACATTTAAATTTGTATTCTTTAAATAGTATCAAATTCATAAATACATTGATTGCTTTTCTCATCTTAAGCTGGGTTTAAAAGTAAGTGCTCACAAAGACCCGGCACATAATCCATGGGAATTGGCAGGTGACGGGGTTAATTTTTCCAGTTCAATTTTAATTTACTTTTTAAAGCCAGGCATGGTAGCACACGCCTGTAATCTCAGCACCCAGGAGGCTGAGGCAGGAGGATCGTTGTGAGTTCAAGACCAGCCTGGTCTCAAGGCTAGCCTGAACTGCATAGCAAAAAAATAAAAATAAAAAATTTACTTTTTTGTGGTACTGGGGATTGAACTCAGGGCCTTGTGCATGCAAGGCAAGAACTCTACCACTGAGCCACATCCCCAGCCCGTCAATTTTAATTTAATAAACCTTTATGTAAATACATATTATTAACTAAGTACTATAGTATCCAGATAGTTTATAGAAATTACGAGTTTCAGAAAACAAAATTTACCTTAAGTAATAATGCAGTTGTTGACATTAGATATTGGCGGTAAAATATAGCACCTTAAAACAGCTAATGAAAGTGAGCAACTGTATAGATTGCCATAATATGTAATACAGTCTGAGATTTTACAAACAAGTGATAAACACAGCAAGTTTCACACAGTACCACTCACTCTGGTTGTGCTTCCTTGCTTGGATTTACTTTCCCTAAACAATAGCGCAGGTTGTCATCTATTTGATCTGTAAGGCAAGAGCAAGGAACTTAGGAAGTTGCCTTTAACTTTGCCTTTGTGAAAGCAGCTGACTTTTTCATATGAATCAGTACCAAGGGGTGGTCTGTCCTTCCCACCTCCACCCCGAGTGCCAGGGCAGGACGTTTCTGTTCTTACATCACATCGGGGGTGGATTCTTGGTGCCCTCCATGGTGCCTGGCTCCAGGATGCCCAAAGAAACTTGCTTTCTTCATGGAGAGTTGGGACTGTGAAACTGTTGCCCCTCAGAGGGAGCCCCAAGTTCACACAACAGTGTCTCAGAGGGTTTGCCTACAGAGTACTTGATATTCTCCCGTACTACATAGGAGTACCTTGTTCTTAGTACAGAAGGTTGTTTCTTTTTTTAAGAAGCTTTTCAAGTTGTACTTGTATCTTTAAACTTTACTTGAGAACCAGCTTTTATAGCCCAAGCAATTGTTTTTACTTTGGAAGAGCTTTTACAGGTAGGAAATGATTTTAAGACTTACTAGCTCAAACCTAATTTACCTCCTCCAATATATTTATGCAAATTACAAAGTTTAAATTATGACTTTTTGTAAACAGGGTTTGCTGGAGACCACGGGGCCTATACTTTGATTTCTCCAAGCCTGAAAAGCTTTTCTTAAAGTGCTGCTACATGTAAAATATAGGAGTTTTGGCATAATTTCAGGGGACCCTTTGAATCCTCATAAGGCCTACGCAGTTAGTGACAGCCTTAGAAACTGAAAGTTTCCTCGCATTTCAGAAGAGTTACAGGCTGCAAACAGTGCTTCCTGGCGACTTGGTGCCTGTCTAGAGCAGAGTGCTCCCACGGAACTGCGCCTGGGTCACTTCGCAGGTCCCCTCAAGTCCTCAACGAATTCTCATCCTTAGGACCATAGCGCTCGGGTCCCTGTCAGGAGTTCGGAACTCTCCTGCATACACCCATCCACTTCTCAGCTCATGTTAGTGTTTATATGGGAAAAACACATCCATCAATGGGAAGGAAATGTTTCGCAGGTAATTTGGAGGTTAATTTTTCCTTTCCTTGCAAGGAAAGGCCTGTGCTCTGCTGCGGTGTCAGCACATCACGAACCCTGTGAAAGGTCCCAAATGAGCCATACTTTCCTTCCCATAGAAAGGGAACTTCAGCTTTTAGGTGGCTTGATAATTTTTATCTCAGAGCTTCCCCACCAGCCTCAGTGGCCAGTGGCATGCATGAACGAGCCATCCGCGCTTCTCCCTTATCCCTGTGCCATCAGAGAACGTTCCCAAGCGCTCTCACCCTCCCCGGTAGGAAACACACTTCGAAGTTGGGGCTGGGCGGGTGTGACCGGAGGTTGGATGAGATCACCACCAGGTTTCAAGCGCACAGAACCCTTTCTCAAAGGCAGGCTCAGGTTACTGGAGGCATTCATTATCCTAAGTGCTGGGGAAATAGCAGGGCACAAGACAGACAAGCCCTTGTTCTCGTAGAATTGGCCCACTGGTTAGGTAAGAAAGACAAATGACCTAATTTTAGATAGTGATAAATGCTGCGAGGATGTAAGCACAGTGTGATGCTAATGGCACTTGGAATAAAACTGTGACACAATTCCAGCCGTGCAGAGTGAGAGCAGCCCCTGTGGAGCGTGTGGTGGCGCGTCCAGGGGCAGATGCGAAACTGCTTGGCCCCTCTCCCTGCTGGAGTAGCAGCCGTTAGACAGAGCGTGCTGCAGGTTGCCTAGTGCGTGTGAGCAAGAGCTAAAGGGCAGACTGCAGCGTTGGGGTGTCCCCCACCCCCGCCACGTTGCTGTAGCTCACGGATAACTGCAGACCGCAAGCCTACGCCGTCCACTCTGAGCTGGACCAGAGCCCATGGAGAACATCGCCCCTCAGGAAGAGTTTGTCATCACGTTTGAGATTCAGCTGTTTAAGATTCATTCTGTCCCTCCTGGAAACATAGCCCTGTGTTAGCACCTTTCCCCCTTCAAAGGGAGGGAGAACTCTAGCACTGGAAAAACCCCAGGCACGTGTGTGCCCCCAGTAAAGGAACTGGCCAGGCTCTCCGCCTCGGTTTCCCCTCAGAGGTGAGAAGATGAAAAGCACAGCTTTCTTGCGTTGCCTGGAGACTTAAAGACCGGCATGGGCAGCACTGGCCCAGAAAGCAGTAGGTGAGCAGTGACAAGTGTGACCGTCTCGGCAGCAGCATGGTGGCTCCACCCCGTGGCCGAGCGTGAACCCTGTGTTCTAGAACCACGGAAACAACCAGTACTGAGCATTTCCCTCGGTGGGGAGGCACCTTGACCTTACAGTTCCAAGTGCCACCGTTGGGGATTGGGGCACGACACTTGGGGAGGACCAGAGGTGGGGAAGGTGCCAGCCTCAGGAATCGGATTTGCGTGTGGCTCTCCTACTTGTAAATGGGTTGGTAAATGTGACCAAGTTCTTTTAAAAAGGGGAAGAATAGTACCTTGCATGATTGTTTCAGGAACTAGGTCATTCTGCGCCTGGGAGCCTGACGCAGATAGTGATAGTCATCCTCGCTATTTTATTAATGACTTTCAGCTTTTTGTGGTTAAACACACAGTTTCACACCCAGTTGCCCTGGGCCCAGAGGTCCTGCTGGGGTGGAAGCGCTGGTCACACTCAGCTTTGCGGGGCAGTGAGCACTTTGCTCAAGGGGCAGGCATCTCGGGCGTGTGCATAGCAGCTGCTGCTCCCGGAGGAACGCTGCTTCTCCTGAGCACTGGTTCTCGCAAAACCAGCGGGGAAAGTGGCTTCCGCATGTGACCTGAGGTGACCACCCTGAATCCTGGAGGAAACGCCAACTCCCCGTTCTCCTGACTGACCAACGGCATACCGAGTTGGATCGACCAGAAACTCGCTCAGCCTAGGAATCGAAGTCCAGATGGAAAATCGGCACACTGTAACCCCAAATTGCTCCACAACATGGATACATTGGGTGCTTATTAGTAAAAGTGTCCAAGTCCAAGTGGGCCTGAAAGACTGCCACAACAAAGGATTATAATTAATCCCACTGTGGAAGCTAGAGGTCAAATGTAGGGAAAACGAGGCAAAGGCAGGTCTGCGTACAGATGCAGAAAGTGACAGACGCACAAATGGAAGCCAGTGACCTTTACAAGATAAGGGACCTGAGGGATGAGAGCACGCTGGGAGGCACCCCGCTCTTTCAAGCGCAGTTTCTTCCCCTCCTCCAGAGCTGATCTGTGTCCGTGGGCTGCAGGGCTCCAGCCTTGTTTATTCTTCGCTCAGTTTCAGTTGTCTCTGCTGGATTAAGTGTATCAGTGCTTCGTGTATGTAAGATGGCCCGAAGCCGGTAGCAAAGACCACCCCTAAAATGACCTACCCAGCACCCCAAGCTCCGCGGTTCTGGTTCCCACCCTCTCATCGAGGTCTCAGTGTGACTTGAACATGTCAAGTGACAACCCTTCCATGTTTGGTAGGGAGTTTTCTTCTCCCCTGGAACTTCACACACAAATACTGAAGACTTGGAATCTAGGAGTGCAGGAGTTCCCTCACGCCCCGACATAACAAAGAGCGACTGTGAGCAGAAGGAATGCCGCAGCGTCAGTCCGCAAGGTCACAGGCCGGCGGGCCTTGGTCACTCTCAGCACAGGAAGCACATGGGTAGGAAACTGGCAAAGAATTGAGTCGCCCATGTGGGGGCTGTTAGCTCACCAGATGGGAAGTCAGAGGGTCACACCGCCTGAAGCAGCCATGCTGAAGCACCCACAAGAAGTCCTCGGAAATGAAGATCTCGGGACGTGGTGAATGCCCTCTAGGTAAATGGTAAAAAAGAGTAAGTCTTTTCTTGTCTAATGAAACCACTGACTGTTTTACTTTTTCTAAGAAAGTATGGCTTAATGTATAGTGTATGCATTTAGTGCATAGAACCATCTACTTCTGTACACTGAAGTGTGTAGAGCTTCAGTTAATGAATACTTTTCTGTCCTAAAGTCCGTACCGTAATTAGGCGTGCCGCAAAACAGACAAAAGAACCCATTGGTTAAGTCAGATGAAGGGTTCCTGTGTTTGGCAAGCCACATAGAGTTTTAAAGCAAATGGACACCTCTCCTTGGCCTGGGAACTACACTTTAGATTGTGATCACCAAGCACTAAGACTTGAGAAGTATTTTTCAGCGTGAAAAGACAGTTTGGCATTTGGGGTCACTATAACTTACCAGCCGGTAGACAGCTGAACTCTGCAGTGATGTGGAGATAGAAACCCTAGCGAGACATGACCCGCTTATTTTCCCTTTCATTGAAGGAAAACGTCATAGGCAGAACTGTTTGCATGGTGACTCGTGAGATTTGTGTTTGTAAGCTCGGGATTATCCTGGTAAATGACCAGCCTGTTAGAGGTTCCCAGTGACATTTCTGCACAGTCACACATGTTGTCAGCTGCGCCTTATGAAACAGCACCGTGGGATGCTCCTCAGAGCGAGCTGCCTAGAAAGGGCAGGAGGATGACGCAGGGAGAGCAGGGAGGGCCTGGGCAAAGGCACCATAGCCCTGCCTGGCCTCTGCCACCTCCTCCCAGAAGCCAAGAAGCGCCGAGAGGTCACTTTGAAACTGAAAGTGCTGGACTGCCTCTGTCCGGGCAGCATGCCAGGCCTGGACAGCAGCCCTCCTGGTTCTGAGTTCAGGATCCGGGCCATAGGTATGGTGCTCCTGCCTCTGGGCAGGGTCTTAACCAGGGTGTTGGCAGCCCTGCCATAGGTAGCATGTTTTCCCTGAGGCCCAAGCCACCCCCTGTAGGCACCAGTGATGGAGCGAGCGCAGGCGTGTGCCCACCTCAGGGCAGCCTGCGTGATGATTCGCTTTCTGCACCAGACATTCGCACTCAGAGGGGCCAAGCCCTTATCACTGTGCAGACGCTTTACGTGGTTTTAAATAGAAGGCAAATGGAAACCCTGAAAGTATAAGATCTGGGAGTGCAGGCTAATAAACCCATCAGCAGGCCCCCAGGGACCACAGGCTTCCCAGACAGGCTGCAGACCTGTTTTCATGTCTCATTGCCATTCCCCTAATCACATCTGTTACAACCGTAACGTCAGGCTGTATGTTCTTGTGGAAGGAAATGGCCATCAGTGTCAAAGGAATGTTGATGGGCCTTGTATCGCATGATGGATAATGTCAGAGAATTACAGGGGTGTGTAATGCAGGGAAAAGGAGGTACCCAAGTGTTCTCCACTGGCACATTCTGCAGATCTTGGGGACACTAACTGGCTGCTTTTGTAAAAATTGCTTCCTCATAGATTCTTGTTGATTCTGGTAAACTAATCACAATTCTGGCAGTTCTGGCAACCCAAGATTATCCTGGAACAGGATTATGAAAACATGTTACCACTTTGTTAGTAGGTATGTAGTTATCTTCTTTTTAAGAGAGAAACTACTTCATACTTCTGCCTATAAAGTATATGTTCGTCATTAAAGAAGCTTTAGGGATTACCAAAACAGAGGGTGGAAGAAATGAAAATCATTCGTTAATCCACCATATAGAGATAAATGCTTTTCCCATTTGGTGTATATTTTCTAGATTCTGCCCCTGTGTGTGATATTATATGCACAGCTTTTAATACATTTTTAAACTCACCCTATCATAGACATATTTCCCTGGACAAATACAGTTCTCCATTCTTTTTAGTACTGCATGCTTTAGATGTGCCCTTCTAAACCAACCTCTTACTTTTTTTTTTTTTTTTTAAACCAACCTCTTACTGACAGGTACTCAGATTACTTCCTGTGGTGAGTGTCTTGTAAAAAATAAGATCAGTGTGTGTTTGTTTTGTGTGTCTGTTTCTCCTGGAGCTTTCCTCCGTTCACTTTTAGAGACAGACCTATTGTAAGATGCCGCTGCCTGGCCAGAGAAGAGGGGGTCCCACAGAGCCTCTCCACACCAAGTTCCCGCCTCTGGGTGAGTGTTGATTCGGTTCCTTCCCCCCTGTGCTGCAGTAAGCTGAGCATCCCGCCGGGTGTTCATCCAAAGGTGCTCCTTTCTCCTCCACTTTTGGCGTCTTGAGCTTCCAGGGAGAAAGGCCAGGCATTCCAGAACTTGCGCTTTCACCATAGCCAGGCCCCCTGGAGCCCGAGATCCAACTCCACGCTAAGCGCCGAGCCACACCTAATTTGTTGGCAGAACACAGGCACGCACGCAGCGCGCACACCCTGATTCGTAAAGATGATTACTAAAGGAGAGTTTCTTTTTGCCTCTGTGAAAAATGGTTGCACCTTTTGTTTTCAGCATTTTTTGTTTCCACATTATAATGATGTTCACTCTTTTTACCAAAATATTTCTCCAGTCATTGTCAAATGCTTACCCATCTTTGAAATGATGTCTTCTTTCTTAGCAGCTCTAGCTTTTTGAGATTTTCAAATCACTAGTTACATTTCTTAAATACATGCACAAGTAGGAACAGGAGTGGCCTGCAGATTCAAACGGTGCATTTATCCAGGTTATAAGGAGGTTAGAACAACATCAGTGTTCATCTACCATCAGTGTTCATCTACGGTTCTTCCTACCAGCAGGTGTTTAGGGTTCAAAGCCGATGGCCTAATTAGCTGTGGGGCCATTTTTAGCCCCTGGCCCAGTACCCTAACTGTTTCAAAGGAAGAAGTAGGTTTTCCCATCCCTCAGAGCTCTTTGCCCTGCCTAGCTGTCTGTTTGCTTCCCCGATGGCTCCTTTGCAGTGAAAACCCAGGACAGCGCTGCCCAGAAAGTGCTTCTATTGCTCTTGTATTTCTCTCTTTGGAAGTAATGAATTTCTTCGCTAGCTCATTTCCATACTTAGATGGTGTTCAGGAAATAACTCCGGTGGGACCATGTGAACAGTCAGGCAGTGTATTGCAGAGGTACTGAGCAGCGTTTGTGCAGAAGTCATCACCTAGCACGTAGGAGGTACCTGCTGCATGCTGGGCACCGGCCTGGCGGGGTTCAGCACTCTAAGCAGCCCCGTCCGTGACTCGGCCCTCACCATGACTGAGGTCATCAGCCTCAGCCCCAAGCACAGTCTGCCCCTCGCAAGCGTGGCCGCGCTGTCATCTTTTGCGCATTGTGTTAAATAGACCTTTGGGCCTCTGCTGATCTTTTTTTTCTTCCTTGATTTTTTGAGACACTCACTGTGTGATCCAAACTGGCCTGGAACTTGGCAATCTTCCTGCCTCAGCCTGCTGAGTACTGCAGTACAGGTGTGCGCCCCTGCCTGGCTGGGCCTCAGTTTCTTACTCCTGAGACAGAGGTTGTTGGGGAGGTGACGTGCAGCTTTCTCCTACCTTCTGTGTCCCTAGTTCCATGCACTTATTTGGGGACCCACCTCCCTGCTAGGAATCGTTCCTCCTCCCTGCACATTTCATCACCACAATCGCTGCCTTTGTCCCCTTGCCAGTTTTTGTTTTTGTTTTTGTTTTTTTGTGTTTTTTTTTGTTTTTTTTTTTTTTGAGACAGCGTCTTGTTGTGCAGTTCATGCTGGCCTGCTTTCACTGTGTAGCCCAGGCTGGCTTCAAACACATGGCAATCCTCCTGCCTCAGCCTCCCAAGTGCTGGGATTACAGGCGTGTGCTGGCAACATCCATTTTCTCGCTGGCAGTGCTAAAGTTGTAGGACACTAGAGCAGTACAGAAAGTACCCCCCAAAAGCCTGAAGAGGTCCCGGAGCCCCAGCACCAAGATGCCGCAGGCCGTGAAGTCTGGGGACCTTGGGGTCTGGGACTGGGCCCCAAAGAAAGCAACCTCCAGCACACCCATCACTGCTTCGGGGAGAGAACCAGAGTGAGTGGGCTATAACTTATTTATGACTGTGGTCCAAAATAGCTCATTATAACTCATTCACGGCTACCACCTGAGTACTTGGGTGCTGTTTTGAGAGTCTAAAATTATTACCCTATTTCCACACCATCTTTCTGTTCAGCTAAAACCCAGATCTGCTTGCGACAGTCCAGGAACGCAGGAAACTCCATTTCTAAGTGGCACGATGCTTTCCCACCAAAAATACTCCATCTCCTTTAGTCTGAAAAGCGTAGATGCTTTAAAGTACCACTTCTGGTTTGTCGAGAAATTATGGGATGAGGTCATGTCCAAGTCAGTGCTGTCGCGGTGTTTTTTGATTGATGCAGTGTAATTCTGGTTTAGCTCTCTACTCAGTACCATTATGAAGCAGGATAAAATTATCTGAAGCACATACGTAATGCGGAGTTGAGCTGTGAAGAATGGCACTTAATCATCAAGGGGCAGGTGTGGCTTGCCCCCGGCATCCTGCAGAGGGAACAAGGTGCGCAGCAAAGGGCCTGCCCTGGAGCGGGTTGGAGACGTCGGGCAATAGGACAGCAGTGCTGAGGAGCACAGAGCCCACCGGGGAGCCCTGGGGTGGGGCTGGGGGGCCGGGGGGACCAGGCAGGCCTGTGAGGGCTGCAGCTGGGCACCTGGAGGTTAGAGGGACGCGTTGTCCTGAGCCGTCCTCACGGGAACGTGTGTGCGCAAGCGGGAGGTGCTAGAGAAGGGGATGTCCCAAGGAGAGGAAGGGCGAGTGCGGCTCCGTTCTGCCCGCCCGGCGCTGGGGTGGTTTCTGGCAGCACGTGACCCAGCTGAGTGCTGCTGTTCACCCAGGGCAGCCTCACGCTGCCTCAGCCGCAGAGGAGGGGAGGGTGCGGCCCTGGAGCTGGCCCTGGCCCTGGCCCCCTGCAGGGATAGAGGGCGAGGACCGCGTGCCATGTGGGAGTGGGGGGCTCGCTGTCCTTCCCGTACCCGCTTGCTCTGCAGAAGCACTTCCAGGCCTGCAGCCCCGCCTTCCCCCAGCATCCCGGAGAACTCTGCCGGCACCCAGGTCAGCCAGCGAGCCTCAGGGCTGGCCCAGGGCCTCTGTGTGGTCAGCACGCTCCCCGGCCTGGGGTCCCATGTCCACACGGCAGCACTGTTCCAGCACTTGGCTAGGCAGCACAGCGCTTTCTGGGGGTGAAGAGGCACCGCATTTCCTTTACCCCTGCCAATGCAGAGCACGGGTCTGCGGGCACAGCGTGGGTGGCGTCTGCAGGACTGCTGATGCCCGCCGGCATCCCTTAGGAACAAAACTGGGTAACTCCAGGCGAAGACCTGCAGTTCAGAGCCCGCGGCGTGTAGCGGCCCTCTTGACAGAGCGCGCAGGGTGTTGCCAGACGCGCTCTGGATGCTCGCCCTGGGTTACTGCCGCCGCCCGGCTGGGGCGGTAGCGCCTGCACAGCAGCTTCATCGCCGCGCCGCCCCTTCTTGACTCCGGCTCCTCCAGGGTCGTCCACCCTGAGCCAAGCCTGCCAGGACCCGCCCACTCCTCCCCTCCCGCGACCCGCATCCCTCTGCTGTGTGTCCACGGCCTCAGCAGGGTGCAGCCAAGCTTCATTCGCCCCCGAGTGTGGAGGCTCACATCCTCACAGTGACAGCACGGCTCCAGCAGCTCAGGATGAAAACCACAAACATCACCAGATATCGCCGTCTTCTAAACTGTAGGAACCCCGTCAGGCTGATGAGCACTGGAGGTTCAGCTCCTTTCCTCGCTCCCAAATGTATCCTCCTCTAGTAGCCGGACCCCGTTCTGCACCATCAGGGCTGGACGTGATTGACGTATTAGAGGTGTGGGGTAGCACGTTTTCTCTGAGCAAAACAGGCCGTGAGACGGCTAAGTAGGACCACGGCTCTTAGGCCCCGGCTTCACCCTCGGTGCCTGCTTCCTGTGTGCCAGGTGCTGCACCTGCAGTCAGTACAGGGAGGGGGTGAAGACAGGCCGTGGCATGTGTGACCTTGCCAGGCTCTGGGGGAAGCCAGCTCAGGCGAGAGGATCCCCGGAGCAGCAGGCAGGAGAGGGGCCGAGCGGGTATTCGTTGAGCAGACGAGACACTGCTGGAGGCCCCAAGGCAGAGAGCAGGGCCCACCGGGCACCAGAAGGAAGAGCCAGAGCAGAGGCGGTAAAGAGTGCAGGGCTGGTGACCAGCACCGCTCTCAGAGCAGTGGGACTCGGCGGCTTGGCGTAAAAATCCCTCTGGCTGCTGTGGGGAGTGGAAGGGAGGAGGCAAGGAGACAGAGGCAAGCTTCCCGCCGTGGCTGGGTGTGGGGAGCTGGCACGGGTGCGACCGGGCTGCAGTGAATGGATCTGAAGACTGGTTCAGAGAGAACCACCAGGATGTGCCTGTGCAGGGCCCGGTCCCAGCAATGGGTTGGGCCGGGCAGTGGGCAGGCGGGGATGGGGTTGGAGCAAGGCTGGGGCTCGCTCAGGGCAGACCCTAGCCCCATCAGCTGTCTGTCCACACCTACTGGGACACCCAGGGAAGACACGCCCAGGAGGGAGCTGGGCCCCTGCTGCAGCATCCTGCAGCAGCTCCTCCTCCTCCTGGCTCCAGCCAGCCCGGTGCCGCCCAGAGGAGCCGTGCGCCCAGCCCAGCCGCCAGGTCCCCTGCTCGGGCTAGGGCGGTGCTTCCTTATCCGGGGACCCTCAAGGGACCTGGGACGCGCCTGCCCTCCAAGTTACGTGGCCTGTGGACTGGACGGACTTGGAATCTCTGCTCCGCACATACCACTGCTGTTACCGCCTCGCCTCCCATAACGCTTCCTCCCCACAGTGCACGGCGACCTGGGCCCTGGCGCCGGCGGTAGCACCGCGCGTGCCAGGGTTGCTGCAGGCTCAGCTACACCAGGGCCATGGAGAGGAGCCTGCTCCCGGAGCGCAGCCTGCAGCCCCACTGTCCCGCTCAGCCTTGTCCTCCTGGGAGGCTGTGCCACACACCTGGAGCTGCACTTCCCACTCCTCCCCGGCCCTCGTCAGGGACAGTAACCAGGGTCTGTGCTTCCCACAGGTCCTCTGGATGTCAGCATGGCAACCACAAACCTGGAGAACCAGCTGCACAGTGCACAGAAGAACCTCCTGTTCCTGCAGCGGGAGCACGCCAGCACGCTCAAGGGGCTGCACGCCGAGATCAGGCGGCTACAGCAGCACTGCACAGGTGCGGGCGGCCAGGGCCAGCAGAGTCTGGGGGGAAAGCGCAGGGCAGGTCAGCAGCAGAGCCAGCCGGCCGCAGGGGGCACACCCGCATCCCAGCATTCCAGGAGGCTGAGGCAGGAAGATTAAAGTTGTGGCCCAGCCTGGGCAATTTAGCAACTTAGAAAAGCCCTGTCTCAAAATTTACAAAGAACTAGGAGAGTAGCTCAGTGCAGACACGCTGGGTTCAAGCCCAGCCAGTGTTGTCAGGAGGTGTCGCCCCACTGCCTGACCCAGCCATGCGCACTGCACCCTCACCAGCTGTGCTTTGCAGCCCTGCTCCTGCTGGGCAGACTGACTGCTGATCCTGGGCTCAGTCCTTCACGCTCAGAGAGGAGGAAGGTTTTGAAGTACACTGTAGGGCTGGGGATATGGCTCAGTGGCATAAGCACTTGCCTGGCAAGCCTGAGGTCATGAGTTTGATTTCCGGTACCAAAAAAAAAAAAAAACAAAAAAACAAAAAAACGTAAAATTAAGTACCCCCCTGTAATGACATTAATGTGTGAAATTTCCTTTTTAGATTTAACATATGAGCTGACACTCAAGAGTTCTGAACAGCCAGGTAAGACTTTCTCCCCTGGAGCTGATGGGGACGTGGTTTTCTCTTGTGAAGCACGGCGGTGCCATCCTTGTCCCTGGCCATGCACCTGGAGAGGAGAAGGGCGGGGCCTGTGGGTGTCCATGGGCTGGGCCTGGGGGTGAGTGGCTGTTTCCCTTTCAGCGGCACATTTTTAGAGTGTTACATGTTCGTCTTTTTCTACAATTACTGTGCATCCGTCCGCAATCAGGAGATAAACCTGATGGAACCCTACCCGGGATGAGGGAGCCCATGTCCCAGAGCCTGGGGGCACAGCGCAGAGCTCTCAGTCCTGCCTGGCTTCCTCTGGGGCCTCGGGGAAGCCCAGCGGTGTTGGCCCCAGGGCATCCAAGCAGAGGGGGCAGGAAGCAGGCCTTCCCAGGGGCCGCCGTGCAGGTCACAGACAGTCTGCTCCAGCACAGCAGACCTGCTTCGTAACTGGGTGTCACGGTGGCCTTAGAGCCGCATGTTTGTGGCCCTGGCCCTCTTTATCCCTTGCAGAATCGGTTGGGGATTTGGAGATTATTTTGGTTTTGGTTTTGGCCAAGGCCTGCAAGGCTGCACAGAATCGTGCGGCCCCTGTCCCCCCCAGGGCGGTCATTGTGAGCCCCCACCCCCTGTGCACCCCTAACCGCGCCCACTCACCCGCAGGCGACGCCTCCTCCAGAGGCGCAGAGCTGAAGAGGCGCTGCGAGGAGCTGGAGGCCCAGCTGCGAGCCAAGGAGGGCGAGAACGGCGAGCTGCTGCGCGAGCTGGAGCAGAAGAACGCCACGATCGCCGTGCTGGAGAACACCGTCCGCGAGCGCGAGAAGAAGTACCTGGAGGAGCTGAAGGTGAAGAGCCACAAGCTGAGCCTGCTGTCGGGCGAGCTGGAGCAGCGCGCCGGCACCGTGGCCTACCTCACCGCGCAGCTGCACGCCGCCAAGAAGAAGCTGCTGAGCTCCAGCGGCACCTCGGACGCCAGCCCGGCCGGCAGCCCCGCGCTGGCCAGCTACAAGCCGGCGCCCCCCAAGGACAAGCTGCCCGAGACGCCCCGCCGCCGCATGAAGAAGAGCCTCTCGGCCCCACTGCACCCCGAGTTCGAGGAGGTCTACAAGTTCGGGGCTGAGAGCCGCAAGCTGCTGCTGCGCGAGCCGGTGGACGCCATGCCCGACCCCACCCCGTTCCTGCTGGCCCGAGAGGCGGCTGAGGTCCAGCTCATCAAGGAGCGGCCGCTCGTCATCCCACCCATCGCCTCGGACCGCGGCGCCGGTGGGCAGCACAGCCCGGCCCGCGAGAAGGCGCACAAGGCACACGTGGGCGTGGCTCACCGCATCCGCCATGCCAGCCCGCCACAGGCGCAGCCCGAGGTGGAGACGCTGGTGGTGGACCAGGTGAACGGGGGCAAGGTGGCACCGAAGCACTCAGGGACGGACAGAACTGTGTGAGCCCGCTGGCCGCCCGCAGCTGCCCACGCACTGTGACCCACGCGGGAGCCTCGCCCACACCTCATTCCCGTGCATGCCAAACTGTTTCCAGACCTGCCCACCGTGCCCCTGCGCCTTCACCCCTCCTGACACCAAAGCGCGATCACACCCCGCTGCAGAGCACATATGTATGACACCGTGGCCAACACCTGCGCGACCGCTTGCTTCCTTCCCACCTGAGTGAGCTCAGCGCGCTCCGCTGTGGCTGCACCACTTGAGTTCCTGACGGTAAACAGCCACACGCCCGCAGGGGGCGGGCCCACGCACCACCTCCACCCCGCTTCCAGGGCAGCCTGCTCGGAGCACCCCTCCTCCCCACCTCCCCAGGGTGGCACCATCACCGAGCGGCTGTATGCGTGTGTCACGGGAACTAAATAAGATGGCATTGCTCCTCACGGCACCACAGCCTGAATGTGTCTTCATAGTTTTTTGTTAGTTTCATCCAAAATGTTCAAGATCCCAACAAACTTTATTTTCTAAACCTGCCTTCCTTCTCTTTTGTGTCTTTTATTAACCCGAGGGAGGACGGGAGAAGGTCTGGGAGGAGGGAGAAGCGGCCCCAGGTGCTCTCCACCTGCAGTCCCTACACAGTTCTGCCCAGGGAGGCCTGAAGGTGCCAAGTCCGAGCCGACCCTGCCCAGAACCCGGCTCGCTCAGGCAGAATCCCACGCAGCTCTTCGGCCTGAGCGCCGCAGGCCAGCACCGTCTGAGCCGTTGTTCCAGACGGGGAAAGCAGCCACGGAGACGGGCCGCCTCCACCCAGCGCCCTGGGCACTGTCCAGGGCCCAGCCTGCCGCTCCCCGACTCCCCTGCCCACCTCGGCCTCCTGAGCAGCGATCCCGCGGCCCAGGGGCACCTGGCAGCATCAGCCGCTCGCTTGTGCCGACCGCACACAGGGCCCTCAAATGAAGGAGAGCACAACACATCCTCAAATACACTCCAGTGTTTACTTTTGGAACACAAAATCCTTTTAAAAAGTAGTTTAAAGAACAACCATTGGGGTTCATTTAATGCAAAGGGATTTAAAGGGCCGACTTCCAATGCAAGGGAGGCTGGAGCAGACCCAGAGGCCCAGGAGCGCAGCCGGCGGCCCTCACTCGCGCTTCCTTTGCAGTAGTCAGGTCAGTCGGAATTCAGGGTGAGGCACACGCCCTGCAGCACCCAGTGAGAAATGTGCTTGGCAGTGAAGAGGTCTGCCTCAAACACCAAGCCGACCCCCATGGCGTTCCTGCGCAGGGAGGTGGTGTAGACGGGCGTGCGGAAGGTGTTCTGTAAGGGAGAGGCAGGTGAGCCGTGCCCGCGGGGGGCCCCACCCCCTCTCAGGGACCACCGATGTGCACTCGGCCAAGCCGGCAGCCACTCTCTGACTCAACCAGAGTCCCCAGGTCCCGCGAGCAGGGAGGGCGTGTCCCCTCAGCCCACGCCACAGGCTGGCGACAGGAGCCCAGCGCGAGGGGGTGGCATCTGGGCATTTCCAGGCAGGGCCTCCAAGGCTCCCAACCCGGGAGCGGAGTGCCCCGACTCAGAAGGGCCTGAGGGGACAGCAGGCCCTGTCGGGGGTCGGGGCGACCCTCACCTGCAGCTTCAGGCGGTGGGCCTCGATGGGGATGATCTTGAGGATAGGCAGGTCCACCACCAGGACCTTGGGCTTGCTCTTGACCAGACAGCCTCTCTCTATGTCCCAGTCAGCGCCTTCCAGGTACAGTCCTGAGACAAAGCACCCTGGAGGCAGGAGAGGCCAGGCAGATGCAGAGGAAGCAGACGGGTGCCGGAACAGGTGCTGGGACGCATCCGCAGCTCCCCACTTCCCACGCGGCCGGCTTCCCTTGCAGAGCCTGCCAGGGGGCCACAGCCTCACCTAGGGCTCCGCCCGGGCTCCAAACACCAGGGCCAGAGCCAGCGCTCGGCAACGCCCCCCCACCGAGAGCCCGAGTCCGGGAGCAGGAGGGTGAGGCCAGGCCTTGTCGGCGACAAGTCTGTGGAGGTGGCCCTGCAGGCTCCCAGAGGGGAGGACACTCATCTGCCCAGAGCATGTGGCAGCTGGCACCTCTGGGCAGCCCCAGACCCTCACCACAAATGCCCTCCCCTTAAGCCATCGTGAAAGCGTCTGTCCCTTCTGACCGAGGCGGCTTGGGCCCCTGGGAACAGCAGTGTGCAGCTGTCACTTGCTGAGCGGTAACCAATGTCCTAGAGACCTGAAGCCACCCAGTAGTGTAGTGTTGCAACCAAGCTGGCCCACGCCCCTGGCCACCCAGTGCCCTACGGGGCCCCCTAGTGGCCCGTGTCCTCCGGACCAGCAGGGCGACAGGGCTCGGGTCCCCTGGACCTCAACCCCACGGCTCCAGGGAAAGGGGCAGCGCACACACACAGCAGTGTCGGCTGTGATCTGACTTCTCACCAGGAACCGGCCCCTCTGGCTACTCTACACTTGTCCCTTCGGACTGGGGACGGCTCCGGGGAGAGACCCCACACGGGAGGTGGGGAGCCCTAAAGAGCTGGCCGTACCTTGTCCCGCCCGCTCGTTCACTTCATCTGCATCTTGGAACTTGGTCACCTGCGTGAACAAGGTGGACCGGTCCAGAGGCCAGCCGTTCTTCCGGCAGGTGGCCTGCACCAGCGCGGTGAGGTAGGACTCCGGGATGTGCAGCCCTGAGAGCCACATGACGCTGGGCTCGCTCTCAGTGACCTGCATGAAACAGTGCATGGAAAAGGCCGGGTTTCACCCTGGGGACAAGACTATGGCCCCCGCTCAGCACCAGCCACGGGGGGAGCCAGCTGGACCCCAAATGCAGGCAGAGTGAAGATTTAAAGACAAAACCACAGAGCTACCGATCAAATCTCCAGCCAGTGGTCCCCACCTTCTCATGGGAAGGACAAGGCCCGGGACCCACAAATGAAAAGACTGACACATTCAACTACGTAACAACACAGAACTTTTCCATGGATAAAAACACCGTATGCAAAGACAAAAGACTCAGAACGAGAGATGCACAGCGGTAGCTTGGTTCATGCACTGAATTCTTCCCATGATTCTGGTCACAAACTGAACTGGTCACAAACCAAGTCAAATTCAATGGTTAGGTTCAGTGTGGACCTTCTGGGGAAATTTGATTCAGTTCTCGTCCAATTTGGTTTCCAGCCAGAATTGTGGAAAGAATTAAGTTCGTGAACAGAGGTTCCACCACGTGTGTGACGCCACATACACAGCGATAATGTCTCCAGCATAGAAAGCTCTTTAAAAAAATCAAGGAGAAAGATGGTGCCCTCAATAAAAATGAAACCAAGGCCAGGGACATAGTTCAGCAGCACAAACACCTGCCTGGCAAGCGCAAAGTCCTGAGTTCAATTCCCGGTACCAAAAAAAAAAAAGAAACCAAGATATAAATATACATTTCAGGAAAAAGGAAACTTGAAACGTCTAGAGGCTCAAGAAATATACTCAGCTTCAGCATAGTTGAAAAAATACAACACAAAACGATTAGTGTTCCCCACCTATCAGAGAATAAAGATCTAGAATGTGAAGAACACGCATGTTTGCTGAGGCTAGGGCAACAGTCCCTCCAGGTATCCTGTTTCTTGGGACAAGACTGAAAATTCGGAAGCACACACTTCAACCGTGGCCCGTTCCCCGAGGGGCACACTCGTGCAATTCACACACATGCAGAGAATGTGTGCAGTGACTGCCTGAGTGTGCCCAGTAGGAGGAAGGGTATGGAATATGGGCAGGGGGAACTCTCCAGGAAGAACAACCTGCGCCCATTCGCTCTTACACCAGAGTGTATATAGTGTGCTGCAGAGTCCCCAGCAAAGAGGAAACAGATGAAAGATACAGACGTGTGTGTGTGGAATCCGCGGACGGTTCTCTAACTCCCGCCACCGGCTTCCCATCACTCACCCACAACGTGTACTGGCTGAACCGCCGCAGGAAGTAGATCATCCAGTTTCCCAGGGACTTCAGGGTATCGGGGGCCAGCTTTCTCCAGATGTTAGGGATCAGCCCAAGGAAGAGGGACCGGGCTACATCATCCAGCTCGCTGCTCATGCCGACTTCCCCAGCCAAGGCCTGTTCGCAGGACGCAGAGCCATCAGGCCGCCTGCGCTGGACCGCCAGGCACCACACGCACACAGCTCCGCACCTGGGACCGTGCTCACCCTCTGCAGCTCGGCCAGCGACTTGCTCATGCGCACGACCAGCTTGTTGAAGCGCCCCAGCTCCTGCAGTAGCACCACGGAGGTGGGCGAGAGGCCCACGCCCAGGTGCTTCCGGACCTGGTCCAAGTCAAAGACCTTGGGCATCTTGTTTTCTATGTCCTTGGCCACTTGGCCAATGTAATCGTCACGGCTGATGCCACTGCTGGATTCCCCTAAAACCAGAACTCACTGAGGAGAAGCAAGGCTCGGCGGGGGAGGGGCGCCCAGCGAAGCCGCCAGCCAGGCGCAGGTGGGCCAGCTCCCAGGACCAACCAGCAGCACTTGTGCTGACCCTGCCCCAGCCGAGCTCACACCCTGCTCAAGCGCAGCTCACCGGTCTGTGGCTGCAGCTCCAGCAGGTGGGCCCACATGTCCCGGGCCGCCTGCGTGTAGTATCCGATCTCAGCGTTGGAATGGAGGCCGAACACCTCGGGTGTGTTGGCCAGCGGGAGGGCCTCGATGGCTTCTGGAGCCACAGGGCACGAACAGTTTGCATCAGCAGCTGCCCTGGGCTCCTGAGGCCCACAGCCGCTAAGGCCTAATTTCCTAATTTCTCCCGAGGACTAATTTCCACCGTTGAGTGGGTGACACGCTTTTAACTAAAATTCTACACTGCCATGCCCAGCCTAGCTCAAAACACCTAGGTGGCAGGGAACGCCTTCCCAGGAACTGGAAATAACGCCCAGCCCCAAGACTAAGAACAGACCCCACCTGACCAGCCGAGGCCCGTGCCCACCCCAAGGGAGGGCTCAGAAGCAGAACGACCATAGGAAACGTGTACACCGACAGACTGTCTCACCGACAAATTTGTCCTTGACGTCCCCGGCGGGGATTTTGTAGTCCACCTCCTTGTTCCGGAAGAAGTGGAAGGGCTGGAAGGTGTCGAAAAGGAAGTCCCCCAGGTACTCGTCCATGTAGGTGGTCAGGATGCGGCGGTCAAAGCTGTCAATGGCTCGGCCTCCGTACATGACCTGCAGGTGGAGCAAGGGAGGGGCAGCTGGGGACTCAGGACCTCTGCGAGCACCTGGCACGCCCTCCCCTGAGCCCGGCTCAGGTCAAGACCGAGCCATGGTGACACGCCGCCGCTGGCCATGTGTGGCCCCTGAGCGTCCACGCGGGTAAGCGCCTGGGCCAGTGCACTTGTCCCTGGCACTGTGCACGGCTCCCGGGCTTCCCAAGGACAGGCCCACAGCGAGGAGCTGCCCTTGGCAGTGTGGGAGCCAGGGCACAACGGCAGACTCCCAACCGTGTCGCACGGCAGAAACTGAAGGCAGCGGCCATGTCCCAGCTCCGTGTGGACCCCACTGAGGCCCCACGCCCAGCGCGCAGGACAAAGGAGAGGACGCCCCGCCCCAGAGTGGGGGCAGGGTTTCGCGCAGCCTGGACAGCAGCCCATGCCGAGTGGAGAACTGTTGGGGATCACTACAAAGTGGCTCTGAGCTGGATCTAATATTAACCAATTGGCTTTCTGTGTTTACTTAAGAGTTGTCTGAATTTAGGCACCTTGTCTGCCACCCCAGTTAACTTAAAGGAGACTAACCGCAGGCATCTCACTCCTGCTGTGAACGCCTTCCTGGAGATAACACAGTTCTCCTAAATTAACATACTATATTACTTGGAGAAGTCCTTAAAGGGATTCCCAAGTCCTGCCCAGATTCCTGCATTTTCTTTTTTTTGACCCCCCCCCCAGTACCGGGATTCGAACTCACGACCTTGCGCTTGCTGGGCAGGCGCTGTGCCGCTGAGCTAAATCCCCAGCCCCTAAAAGGATCTTTGTTTGTTTGTTTGTTTGTTGTTTGCTTTTCTTCCGGTACCGGGAATTGAACTCACAACCTTACACTTGCCAGGCAGGCGCTGTGCCGCTGAGCTAAATCCCCAGCCCCTAAAAGGATCTTTGTTTGTTTGTTTGTTTGTTGTTTGCTTTTCTTCCGGTACCGGGAATTGAACTCACAACCTTACACTTGCCAGGCAGGCGCTGTGCCGCTGAACTAAATCCCCAGCCCCTTCCTGCATTTTCTTCAGTATTCCCCCTCCCTTGTTTGTAAACCAAATAAATATGGGCCTCCCAGAGAAGTCTTGGGCTAACTCACAGAATACTGAAACTGTAAGGGAATTAGTCCCCCCTGGTGCCCTAAAATCATTACCATTGTCTGCATTTATTTAAGCCGTGGCTGTCCACTCGCTTGGGAGATTGCGGGCCTGATGGTCCTGCAATGACTTAGGGTTATCTAACCGGGTTTTTGATGAGGATGCCACCAGGCCTCTCCTACCTCTCCAATCAGGTACTTGAGGCTGCCCCAGGGGATCCGAGGGTCGCGTTGCTGGAAAGCTTTCATTAAGTACGTGTTCAGAATCTCCATGCAGACCTTAAAGGCGGGAACAGAAGGGGCTAAACTGAACCAGACCAGCCCTTCACAGCCATCTTACGTGAAAAGTGGGCAGAAGCTGGGTGTGGGGGCGCAAGCCTTTGAGCCCAGTACTCTGGGAGGCTGAGGCAGGAGGACTGCCATTTCAAACCCAGCCTGGGCAACTTAGCAAGGCTGTCTCCAAAAAAAATTTTTTTAGTTTAAAAAGGGCTGAGGATGTATGTTCCTCAGAGCAGAGGCCCCGAGTTCAGCCCTGAATACCGCATAACAAACAGGAAGTGGGCAGGAACCAGACGCCAGCAGCGCACCGGCCACACCGCACCTGGAAGTCAGACTCGTTGAAGTCATAGTAGACGTTCCAGCCGATCTTGCCAAACTTCCTCCTCTCCTGCACCACGGCATGGAAGAAGGCCAGCACGTAGACCAGAGGTTTGAAGGCGGGGTGTGGGCACTGCCCCAGCATTTCAGGGGAGATCTTGAAGTAGGTGGCACGCATGTTCAGCTTGAGCCCATTGGGCGGCTCTGTGACGACCTGCAGCAGGCGGGAAGCAGAGCCCTGCCTTGGCTAGGGTCCGGGCCAGGCAAGAAGGGCGTCGGAAACTGCATCTTGGGTCTCCCTGCTCCCCAGTGACGAAGCTCTGGCCGAGGGCCCAGGCAGACAGTTTGCGGGACCAGGTCTGTCCCAGTGTGGCCACCAGCCCCGCCCCCTGGTCCTCTGACCTCCCTCTGAACCCCAGGTCCTCAGCTGTCAAAAGAAAATCCCTGACTCTCTCTCCCACCTGGACCAGAGAAAGAAAAGCCACAAAACCTTCCCAAAACAATTTCCTGAGAATAAATGACAGGAGACGTGAAAATCCCTCTGGACGTCACACGCACACACTGGAGTCGGGGGTGGCCCTGTCCCAAGGCAGTGGGGCGAGCAGTAAATGTGCGTGCAGGGAAGCCAGCCTGGGGACGGCACGGGCCATGCCGGACCTTCAGGGACTTCTGCAGGATCCCAATGGGGAAGCCCTTGGTGGGGTCCGTGGTGAGCCACAGGCGGAAGTCGGGGTGGGGCTTGGTGATCTTCTCCAAGGACTTCTCCAGGTCCTTCAGCCACCGCACCAGGAGGTGGCAGTTCTGCAGCATGAGCCACTGCCCACGGGCCACCGCCGTCTCCAGCAGCTGCAGGGCCACCTGCACCAAGGGGACAAACAGGTGACAGCCTGCTCCAGAAGCAGCGCAAAGGCGCCAGTGACCCAGCCCTCGGAAAAGCCGTCTCGTAGACGCCCTGCGGGCCGCCTCTGTCTGCAGAGCTGGGACGTGAGCCTCATGCCCTTAGCACCTCCACGGTTGGGGCCCCAGGACGGGAAGCACACCCACTCCTCTGAGGCACAGTGCTCTTAGCTCCAGCCCAGGGGATGCAGTCGTCACAGAGGTGGGGACCCCACTGTCCAATGACAAATTACCTTTTCTTGACCTTGGCCCATGGCAAGGAATTTGAGGCGGTTTCCTCCAAAGCCACTGCGCTCAGCCAGTTTCATGAGGTCACTGGCCGGGTCAGAACCAGGACTCAGGATAAACACGATGGGCGAGTTCGGGGTGCTCTGCTCAAAAATGTTTTCGAAGCTGATCATCGGGGGCTGCACGTACCTGGGGGAAGGGACTGAGTGAAGTCACTGTCCAGGGGGACAGCGCCGGGTGTGATCAGGGCTGTGTCCCCAGAAGCGTCCAGAATCCCCTCGCTGCTCCTCTGCCCACGAGGGGCGGTCCGGCCACAGGCGACGGACCCTTCCGGCTCCCTCCCGCACGTGTGGCACGTGCACACTGGGAAGGTTTGCATCCAGCCGGACGCCCCTACACGCCCTCCAGGTAAGCGGGGCCCTGGCACGAGACCCGGAGGTTGCCCGTCCACAGCCCCACCGCGTGTCCCAAATGGCCCCATCACAAGGGGCGTTTGGTTTGCTCTTTCCCAGAGTCGGGGTGCTTCCGTTTAGATACAGCTTGTCCCCCTTAAGGCCCATGTGCAGAAGCTCGGGCTCCTCAGTGACAATGTTGAGAAGCAGACCCTTACGAGCTGGTGCCTGGGGGATGGTGGCCGGGCACCACTCCGGAGGGGATTAGTGTCGCCCTCACAGGACTGGCTCGCTGCGCAGCAAGGCGCCCACATGTGGGCTCTTCTGCACGTGGCTCGCTCCCTCTCCGCTCCTCCCTGTTGTGAAACAGCCAGGGAGCCCGGGCCAGACGCTGGTGCCATGCCATTTGGACTGCCAGCCACCGGCTGGCGTGAGCTAAGTAAACCCATTTTCTTCACGCATTATCCAGCAATCGGTATTGTGTCATAGCGACACAAAACAACTAAGTGAGCTGCCACCATACAAAGATCGGGAGAGTCAATGTTAAAAAGCTGAACTCCCAGCTTCTCTGAAAGCTAGAGGAGGAGGATGAAGCCATCGTTTCCGTAACCTGCCAGCCACCGAGGCCCATCGGGCTCGCGCCCTCGAGCACCTGTCTGCCTTCGCACACTCGGCCAGAGCTGGGCATCCAATATGGCGGGCAGAGACGCATGAGGCCACCAAGAGCTGGCCCCCCGATACGTGCTCTGAGTGAATTCACACAGGACTTGGAAGACTGAACCGAAAAAACCCTGTAAAATGTCTCAGTAATGTTTCCACTGATTATGTGAAATAATACCTTCATATATGCAGATAAGAAAACTATGTTCTTAAAATTGATTTCACCTGCCTCTGTCCTGCTGTGATTGGAAATCTGCCCTGACCCGTGCGCCCCCCAGGGACTTGTCTTGAGTGGCTCTGGGCTAGAGCTCACATGTGCTGGGCCAGTTTTCTCAGGGGCCAGTCACCCCTCCCCCTGTGCTCAGGAGGGGATGACAATAGACGTCCCAGTCCGAGAAGGAGCCAGGGAAGCAAAGCAGCACTTACTTCTCTCCCATGGTTATGGTCACATAGTCAGTCACTGCCCGATAGACCCGATCCACACGGAAACAGCGCAAAATAAGCAACTTCTGGAAAGGGGTGATGTTTTTATCATACCCCAAGGGGAACGGAAACTGCTCCAGTGAATCCAGGTCATACCACTGGGGAGAGCAGAAATCATTGTGCCATCAGCTCAGAAAGACAGGTCACCACTGCCATGTGACGGTGTCAAAATCCATTGTAAAGGGAGGAGAATCTACAGATGTGGGATTCAAGGCCACCTCTAATCTTGGATGGCCATTTTCTACACCAAAACACAAACTTCAGGAAGGGAGAAGCTGAGTCTCCTTCACTGTGGAGTCCCCAGTGCCTGCGTGGGGCCATGGTACTGCATAGATGCTTAGTCAGTATTTCCTGAATGGATAGGTAGATTGATGGGATGGATGGATGGATGGATGGATGGATGGGATGGGTGGATGGATGGATGCATGGATGGATGGGATGGGATGGATAGATGGGATGGGATGGATGGATAACGATGGATGGATGATGAGCACAGGGGGAGGGGTGATGGATAGATGGATGAGAGATGAATAACAGGCAACAGATGGTTGGATGAATGGATGGATAGATGGTGAATAATGGATGAAGGATGGTGAATAACATCATGAATGCGAGGATGGGGGAATGAATAATAGGTAGTGGATAGATGAACTGGATGACTGAACTGGATGGATGGATGGACGGATAGATGGATGGATGGACAGATGGACGGATGGACAGATGGACTGACCTATGGATGGGTGGTTCACCCACACAGCTAGTTAGAGGGGATTGACGACACTCTGCATGGTTTATTCAGGCAGTAGCTTCCCTTTCACAAGGCACTGGCCATGGCTTTCATCTGGAGATTGTTGTTGGAAGGGGAAAGTGCAGAGAAAGCACAAGCTCACCTCCTGCCAGACAAGGAGGTGATTCTCAACATCATCGGGAAGCTGCCCGAAGTCGTCTGGAAACATCTCTGAGAGCAGAATGACGTCCTCCCAGCCCTGGTCAGACAGCCACAGGCAGGGCTTCTTGCGTTTGCTCTTCTCCAGGGAAATGTTTCCTACCACAGGGGAGGAAGAGGAGGAGGGGGGATGAGTGGCCGTCACGCTGGCGATGCCAAGCAAGGGGCTCAGCACTTCGCTTCAGGGAAAAGTCCACATCCCAAAGACGGGACCTGCAGGGAAGGGGGCGCGGGCTGGCCCCGTCGCCACCAGGGACCCCACCTGCAGCCCTGCGTGACTTCCAGCCACATGCAGTCCTGAGGCACGAGTGGGCTGCTCCGGGTCTGGCCGGAACCACTGCTGAGGCCAGAGGCGCCGGCTGAGGCACCAACCGAGTGGCGCCCTTGCAAGCCAGGCTCCAAGGAGAATTGTTGTGGGTGGGGCTTGTTATCATGAGCAAACTTCCTGCCTTGTGCCAGGGTCGAGGAAGTTGGGGAAAGGAAGGTAGCCGAATCCGTTACCTTTTAGAAAGAAATCTAACTCCTCCTGGGGAACTCTGCCTTCCGCCTGCTCTATCTTGATGGTCATGTTGAAAGAGAAGAGCAGCTTGTGCTTCTCAAACAAGCCTGTGGAGGAACGCGGGGTCGGAAGGACGCGTAAGGGGATGGGGGACGATGGACACGGAGGACGAGGGGGCGGACGCACAGATGGACGACGTGGACGGGTGGTAAATTTAAAAACATTCATTTTAAAGACTGAGTTTCACGTGCACAACATGCTTGAATGTAAAGGAAGTGAGACAAAAGCTCCACACAGGGCCACGCTTAGCCCACCCACGCCCAGTGCCTGGGAACATCCGGGTACAAAGGAGCTGGGTTCCACCTACAGGTCCCAGCCAAGTGCAGCCTGGGCCACCTCCCCACCTGTGCCTCGCACGGCCCTGTCTCCTGGGGGCACCACGCACCTGCCTGGGCAGAGGGGGCCCAGAGCCACCTTCTCCACCAAGGCTTGGCGGAGCAATTCTGCTCCGGGGCAGAACTGAGGGGTTGCGACGCAGACCACGGAAGTAGGAGCCGTGTGGCCCTGCCCCGAGCCCAGGCACCGCCCTGCCGCAGGATGCAGTCGTAATATTCACAGAGACGGCTCCAAAACCAAGCGGAAGGCCGAAGCGATCCGCGCACCCAGGGAACCGCGCAGTGCTGTGGGCAAATCCAGAGCGGATCCCTGCTGGGGGATGGGCTATGGGGAGCCTCACCCTGTTTCCTTCTGTGTTTGAAACTTTTTATAATAAAAGTTAATGAGGGGCTCAGGCTGTAGCTCTGTGACCGAGCAAGAGGCCCTGGGTTCCATGCCTGGCACCCAAATACACACACGCACACGCACACACACACGCTCACACTGAAGTCTGCACACAGATCTTCCCCGCAGTGTTATCCCACTAGAAGTGACCCCTGAGAAAAGAATGTGGCCGATTTGTGCCACAGGGAGCACCCAGCCGCAGAGCGGCGACCCCGACGCCTGCCGTGACACAGACACACCCAGAAACCACGCCAGCGAAAAGGAAGTCTGAAAAGCCACACACTGGCTGATCCATCATCTGTGGAACCAGAGAGTAGATCAGGGGCTGCCAGCAGCTGAGGAGGCAGAAGCGGGGCGCTGCTAAGAAGTAGGGGGTTTCACTTCCCAGCAGATGGGGCTGTCCGAGAGCCAGACAGTGAGGGTGGGTGTCCAAGCCTGAGAACACCCTATAAAGCCCAGAAGTGCCATCTTTCAAGGGTGCATTTACGGTACATGAATTGTGTCTTCACAAAAATGTCATTTCAGAAATTGGTACTTTAAAGAGTCTTCTTTGTTTTTCTGTTTGTTTTTTTTTTGTGGAACAGGGGATTAAAGTTAGGGCCTTTGCGCCAACCTACATCACCCACCCTTTCCTTTATGTATCACTTTGGGACAGGGTCTCACTGAGTTGCCCAAGCTGGGCTTGAAATGTGGGGTGCTCCCGCCTCAGCCTCCCAGAGTGCTGTGCTCATAGGTACGTGCCACCGCACCTGACTCAAACATTTCTCCTGGACCAGTTGGTAGCTGCCGTCTCCTTACAGCCCCGCCAACCGCGCCCCAGCGCTGCCGCCCGCGTCCCGGCTCACCCGTGCAGCCGTAGTTGTAGATGTTGAAGGTCAGCGTGTCCATGATGTTCCGCAAGCGCTTCATGAGGATGGAGTCAGGCAGTGACTTCTTCAGCGACAGCCCGAAGACCTCCAGGAAGGCGATGAGCGAGTACTGATACATGGAGTTCACCAGCGCCATCTCCGACAGGACGAAGAAGAGAATGGCGCCCCTCCTGGCCGCTGGCCGGTAGCCATCCCGCAGCCGGTCGATGTCCTGTGCCGTCCTCTCGGCCAGCTTGAGCTTCTCTGACACCTGAGGGAAGGCGCGAGTCACCCCAGAAATGAAGACAGGAGGGGCTGGGTGGACAGTGGGGGGGGGGGTGGCAAAGCGCCCTCTGCTGGGGACCAAGGGAGCCACTCTCAGGGACAGCGGCGGGTTTTTGTCAGTTCAAAGCCCTCTCTAGTATCAGCTGCGCACTGTCTCCTTCACTTTCTACGTGGGCTCCACCCATGGGACCAGGCCCAGCCAATCCGCCCCAAGCACTTCCAGGCCTCGGGATTACCCTGCGGGGGGGGGGGGGGGGGGGGGCACATGACTTAAGTGACTCTCAGGACACTCAAGATAGGAACAAGGAAAGGCTCTCACTTCTCCTCCCAACCCTGACAAAGACCCAAGCCAGCTCAGCTGAAGGCCTGGCCCAGAAGAAACAGACTTGGAACTGAGTCCAGATGGTGTCCTTGGAGTGCTGGATCCAGCCCTACCTGCAGCCATCCCTGGTCTTTCTGCTTTGTAGGCTGATGTCTTCCCTTTGGGAATTAGCTGGGCAGGGTTGGCTTTTCTGTCACCCTCAACTGAAAAAGGCTGCCGGCGCCACAAGGATCCCCGGGGCCCTCGGGGCTCAGGGCACCACCCCGCCCCGCACCTCCGTGGCCTTGGACTTGGTGTCCTCCAGCGTCTGCACCAGCTCGGCGTTGTCCAGCATGTTGCCCGTGGACGTGGCCAGCTCGCGCAGCAGGGAGTCCTCCAGGTCCTTGAGCAGGTTCTTGTTCTCGCTCGTCTCCTGGATGAGGTGTTCCCGCTGCTCCTCCAGCTCCCGCCGCTCATAGGCCACCAGCACGCTCAGCAGCTGGTCCTCCAGGCCCTTGAGGGTCACTGCGGGGACACGGCGAGGCCCTCACAGCCCGGCCGGGCCCGCTTCCCGCAGGCCCCCTTGGCCGCACCCCGGCTGGGCCCGGCCCTCTCACCCGTGTAATTGATGACCATGGCCTTGCCGAACACGGCGGGCGAGTATCGGGGGTTGGCCAGCTTGGTGTTGAGGTAGAGCCGGAAGTTGGGGTCGTAGTCCACCTCCTTGTCACCCAGGATGATGAATTGCCGGCCCTGCGTGCTCCGGATGTTCTTCTCCAGGACGTTGTCGATCACCGGGTCGATGTACTCGTCCACGTCGTGGAACAGGAAAGGGGTCCCGTACTTGATGGAGATCTCCAGCTGCTTGAGGAAGTCGGGGTCGTTGAAGGACGCCGTCTGCGGATGGGGCGGGGTGGAAGCCAGTGTGCGTGACACACCCGTGTAGGGGCGGGCGAGCTCACGTGTGGGGGACATGGAGGGAGCCAGGTGACCAGACAGGAGAGGAAGCAAGGACAGGACACAGGCAGGCAGAGGGGAAAGCTGAAAATCACGTTTGTTAAGGAGTTCAGCAAAAAATGACCGGGCCCCAGGACCTCTGCGCCAAAACCGCACCCAAAGGTTCACGGCAGCCGAAAGGAGAAACGACCCTGCTGTCTACCGCCTGACGCAGGGATAAAGAGACCCAAGTCCTAGTCCGGACAGCAGGCTATTACTCAACCACGAAAAAGGGACACGCACAAAGGAGCCATGCGATCACAACGCCGAGAGGGGAAGCCAGGCAGAAACAGCCAGGCGGCATGCGATCCCCACAGGACATGCCCAGCATGGCCGATCACAGCTGGACAACGTATCAGTGCGTGCCAGGCGCCGGGACAGGGCAACGCGGGGGGGCTGGGGGGTGACACTAAAGGGCGAAGTATTTCTTTGGGTGACTCGGGCAGCTGCTGTACAACTCTCAATATTCCAAGCCCACCATGCTGCCTGCTCTCAGCGGGCGAGCGACCCTGCGAACGACATCTCAGTCCGGCCGCCACCACGCCCTGCCTTCGTGCCGGCCCCACCCCCGCCCACCACGCCCCAGGCCAGCGGACGTCTCGAGGATGCAAGGTGTCCCCAGCCCTAGGAGTGGCGCCGGAGTCAAAGCCACAGGGAAGAGCCCCGGGACCAAGACCGGGGCAGGTCGTACCCGCAGGTTGTTCCGCTCCTCCTTTCTCTTGACCCAGTTGAGCGCCTGCTGCTGGGGGTCGATGCAGAGCGGGAAGCGGCTGGCCCGCGTGGTGAGGATGCCATTCTGCACGGAGAGCTCGTCGGGGGGCAGGCCCTGGGAGCCCCACCTGGAGGGACGGCGGCCGGGACTGTCGTGGAGCCATCTGCCGCAGCCCCGGCCCCCCGCCGGCCGCACCGCCTGACCTGCTGATCTCCACGTCGTCGGTGAGCAGGCTCTCCAGGCGGAAGGGCTGGCTCAGGGGGATGCCGCGCTCGAGCATGTCGTTCTGCCACACCTGCTTCACCATCTCGTCGCGGAACTCCCAGGTGAAGGCGCCCGCGTAGCTCAGAAAGGCGGCACACAGCAGGCAGTCACCCAGCAGCTTCACCCGCCGGTGCATCAGCTCGTCCAGGTCCTTCAGCCACCTGGCACGGGAGGGGGCGGCAACGATGGCCTTCTGGCCACGGGAGCCCGCGGGGCCCTTCCTGTCTAGCTGCCCTGGCATGCGGGAGCCATGGCTAGAGGCTCGGGTTACCACTGTAAAAGTGAGGTCTGGACACTGGAATTGCTAATTACCCATGACACCTACGGTGAATGACGGCGCTGCATTCCACAAACGCGCGAGCCTTGGGTGCCAGTTAAGAAATAAACAAGACCAAGTGAGCTGGCACACGCCTGTCGTTGCTCTGGTACTCAGGAGGCTAAGGCAGGAGGTCCTCAAGTTTAAGACCAGATTGGGCTACAATCTGAGATGTTCTTCCTTTCTAGGACATAGAGATCCCCAGCTCACTTCGTAATTTCCCACCCCGGCAAACCCTTTGCTTTGAAAAACTTGGTTCAGAGCTGGGGCTCGGCAGAACTTCGCCTGGCAGGGCTCTGTAAATGCCAGAGGCCTCATCTCTCAAAGCTGTCTGTCCAGTAGCGATCGAGCTGCTTCCAAACGCAAAGCAGAGCTGAGAACCCCGGTCCGCCAGCCGATGCCCCGACCCACCCGAGACAGGAGAAAGCGGGTGTTTCCTCGGGCCCCTTCCCGTCAGAGCTCAGAGCCCCCCAGGTTCCCGAGACTGGAAACCGCGTGCTCCCCACGGGCAGAGAGAGCCTCCCAGTGTTTTCTGTGCCACACGCGCAGATACCCCTTTGGAAAGCGTCCTCGAAGCCGGTGGTGAGGTGCCCAACAGCCCCGCCCTCTCAAGGATGAACCTCAGGAAGACACTCCTGAGAGTCACCTCCAGAGACAGAGATCGGCTCCTCCCGGGGCCGAAGGTCACCAGGAAGCCACCATTCCCAGTGGCACCTGCTGGCTGTGGTGGTTTCTCTGTCTCTCAGCTTCACGGGCACCTTCAGCCCCTAACAGTTACTAAGTGACGCTCAGCACCGAGCTAATGACGGAGTCTACGAAATGGCCCAAGAGAACCCTCAAACGGCTCATCACGCAGTTTTTACATAAAAGTGCAACTCAGAACAAAGAATCCACGCGGCCCTTCTGTTGCCAGCAGCCCCTGAAGAGCCAGCCCCACGCGCCCCCCTGGGTGGGACAGCCCCGCCGACCTGACGTTCTCGGACCCCAGGCCCGAGATGAGCTTGTCCGCGGCCAGCAGCCTTCTCTCCATGATCTCCGCCTCCTCCTGCAGCTTCTGCTTCTCCAGGATGGCGGCCTCGTACTTGGCCCCCAGCGCTTCCAGTTCCCTCTGGAGGGCGGCCAGCTCCGCCTGGATCCTCTCCAGCTCGCGTTTGCTCAGGTAGAAGTTCCGCTCCAGCTTGGCCACCTAGGGGAAGGGGCAGAAGCGGGGCGGGGGTGAACCGGGCTCGCAGCTGGGCACTGCACCCACCACCCTGTGTTTTCTAGTGACCAGCGTACGCCCTGGCCACCGGGGGCCCCAGCAAGGCACCCCGCTTCTCTTCCGGTTACTGCTTCAGCTGCGGCTGCGAGATCTGCACACGCTTTGGAAAACCATATGGGCTAGAGACGGTGCGTGTTTTGCCTTCCGGCGCCCTGAGGTTCCCAACTCTGCTCCAGCCCCAGAGAAGGAGCCTCAGCGCCTCCTGTCCTGGGCTTCTCATGCCAAGTCCGAGCTGCACGGCCCCCAGCCTGCCTGTCCACGCGTCTAGGTGGGAGCTGCATCTCAGGGTTGCCGATTGTGGGTGGAAATAGTCATGCAGCTTCGAGTTGTGGGTGCCGACTCCTGCGAGTCGCTGGGTGGGCTGGTTGGTACCTTGTCTCTCTTGGGTTTGATCTCCCTGAAGACGTCGCAGTAGCCCATGACGGCCTCCACAAACTTCAGCATGCCCAGCCCCGCCTTGCTGACGGCCTCCATCTCCTCGATCGTGGTATTGAGCGTCTTCAGGAGGCCTGAAGGTCAGAGACAGAGGTCAGCCCGCGTCGCTGTGGGGAAAACGAAACCGCACCGTGATCGCCAGCGGGCAGCGGAAGTACACGTGGCTCAGTGCTCCCCTGTGGCCTGCAGCCCTCAAAGGACACTGGCGGGCCCGATAGGAACGGGTTTCGTGGATACCGAAGGTGTTCTATGACACCCAGCGCACCAAGGGGGACAGCCGGGCGCCGGGATGGCTCAGCTCGAGCAGCTAGCTGGGACTCTAGGCGATGCCAAGGTCACCCGCCGCCTCTCTCTGCGCCCTCTCCCCCGGAACCGCACTCCATGCAGGGCCTTCCGACGCGGGTCCAGGCAGCGGGGAGGGAGCTCCTTGCGGGTTCGGTCCTTGTTACATCCGTGTTTAGTTTGCTTTTGTTTTTAAGGGGTGAGAACAGCACCTGCCGCGAAGGCTCTGCACTTGACCGTGTGCACTTGCATCGCACTGACCGCGTGACTGGAGCCCAGGACCTCACGCGTGCTGGGCAAGCGCTCACCCTGAGCGACAGCCCCAAACACAGCGAGGGCTGGAAGGGACCTCGGCTTCTCTCGCCAAAGGTGTAGGGCTGGCCCTGGGGGGTGCCGTCTCCTGCCCGGGCCTGTCCCCTGGGGCCTTGGACGCTTTATCCTAACAGCCAACCTTGGAGCCACCTGGCTGAGACACGAGGACAGGGCCGGGCGGGTCGGGACAGGAAGACCCTGTTCCCCGATGAGGGAGCCCGCACTGCTGCTGAGCATTCACACGGCGTGGTGATGAGGAGCTGCGGTCTTCGTCCGGAGAGGGTCCACCCGCTCCCTCATCCGCAGGGCCGCAGCGACCCCACCTGCCTGCCGTGACAAACCCTGCCTGGCCCAGCCAGTCCCGCAGACCGACTCTGCACGTCCACCACACGCACCCTTGATGTTTTTGACTTGGCTCTGGGAGATGGAGTCAAAATCAAGCTCCATCAGGGACCGCAGGAAATTGGGGTCGGACATCATGCCCTTGGCCGTCTTCCAGTTGAGCTCGCGGTAGCCCTTCATGATGAGGATGCACTCGCACACCGTCTGCACCTGCTTCGGCGGCTTCGCGAACGACCTGGGGACGCGGAGGTCCAGGGGTCAGAGCCAAGATGGGCCGGGGTGCAACAGAGAAGGCAGCTCAGCTGGAGGCAGGGACAGGTCTCACCCGAAGGCTCCAGACCAGGCTGCAGGACCCAGCCACACCTCTGTACCCACTCAGGCCGCCCAGAGCCACCGAAGCCCTAGTCAGTGTGGAGGCCGAGCAGTCGCCTTTTAAGACACCCTGGGCTCCGCAGGGTGACTGTCACTGTCATCGTCCCCATCCCCAATTCCCACACGGGAAGAAACGGGCTGGGAGCCTGGAGGGCACGGCGTCCCCAGGCCCTGGCTCTCTCAGGGCAGGCCCCCGAATTGCTTTCTGTGGCGATGGTGACAGCAGACATCACCCTGCTTCCCCCACACCAGATGGCAGAGCCCTGGGGCCTCCAGAGCACCAGAGCCCGAGGAACAGGACATGGTGGCCGGGAGGAAACCCCAGAAGAATGGCGGCGCCCACGGCCTCAGGCAGCTGAAGGCTCAGGGTCCCCTGGGAACAGGGGTGGACACACAGGTGGGGGGGTCCGCTGTGCCCGCGTCCTGGGCCACAGCCGGAATCAGGCCACGCTGTCCCCTGTCGTTACGAGGGGCTGAGGAAAGCCAGCCCCGGGCAGGAGAGACCAGGGAGGCGCTTCTAAGCCCAAGGCAGAAAGAGCCCGAGACTGAGCACTCGGCCGAGCCAGGACCTTCAGGCTCCCTGCAGGCGGCCTGTGGGCCCTGCCCCAGGACCTCCCCATCCACACCCGCTGCAGGTGCGGGTGACGAGCCGCTGGGGCACTGAGGCCGTGGCACTGCTTGGTGTGGTCCCCGCTCTGTCACAACATGAACCTGGGGTCGGGGAGGAGAAAGGCGAAGACAAACTGTGAACACTGCCGCCCACTCCGGAATAAACAAATCGCCACAACCCCACGCCCCCCCCACGCCCCCACCCGCTGCCAGCTGCCAGTGGCCTCTGCTTCTTCCACAAGCCGACGCCTGGCCTCCGTGATGCCCCTCCCAGGGTCCCCTGCGCAATGTCCCAAGCACACAGGGCCTCCTTTGGGAGAAATTTTGGGCGAAAGGAACCTGAACCAGAGATGGGCATCCACTTCCTGTCCTCGACATCCTCCTCTTCCTGGCTTAACGTAATCACTTTCAGCAGGAAGTGCTTTTAAGAAATAAAGGGTTGATGCGCGTGGTGACACACCCCTATAATCCCAGCTCTTGGGAGGCTGGAGGCTGAGGCAGGAGGATCATTGCAAGTTCGAGACCAGCCTGGGCTACAAAGTGAGCTCAAGGCCAGCCTGAACTGCACAGCGAGACCCTGTCTCAAGAAGACCAAAAAAAAAAAAAAAAAAAAGAAAGTAAAAAGAAATAAAAGGTTAAGTGCAGGCCCATCGCACTGAACCCAAATGACCCGAAGAAAGGCAGGTAATAGTCATGTTTGGGGGTGCATATTCACATGGAAGCCCAGGGGGCAAATACCAAAAAGGGAAAAGATTTAAATGCAGAAGTTAAACTATAAAAGTACAGGAAAAAACCAGCGGAAAAGTGTTTTACAACTTCACAGTGGGAAGGACTGAACTACAACTCGGGATCTGAAAGCCACAACCCGGGGCTGGGGGTGTGGCTCCCCCCTGCGGGAGGCGCTGTGTTCAACCCCTGGCCCTGCCAAAAAATAATAGCAAAAGTCACAGCACGAAATGCTGCTAAAGCCTGCCACGTAAATGGCAAAAACAAAGGCACAAAGTGAACTCGTTCACAAAGTCAGCGGCCCGTGCCAGATGGGAAAATACCCGCCACTCACTTCACAGGTCAAACGCGCATCTCTTGCCATAGAACACGCTCCAGGAAGGCTGGCAGCGACACTGGGTTCCGCCCCCAGTACCCCAAAAACAAGACCCCCGAAAACAGTCAAGAAAGAGTGAAGCGGCAATAACAACCACACCCAACAGATAAAGGGACAGCGCACAAGACAGTCCGCGGAAAGGGAAGGCACGTGACCCCTACACACATTTTTCACAAATGTGAAAGGGCCACCTCGCTCATAATGAGAGAAATGCCGTGAAAACACAGGAACCCCGTCCCTCCGCGCAGGTGTCGCAAAGCCAAACGCTCAACGGCGCCCTCTCTGGCGAGGCTGCAGAAGCGCAGGCGCCCCCAGGACGGCGGCGAGCGCTGTACGGGGCCCCAAGGGCCGCTGCACAGACTCTTTCGCCCTGGCAGGGTCACCCTGCACCACTCTGTCGCAAGGGCGGGACCCTGGGGACAAGCTGAAGACACGGCCGGCTGGACAAAGGATGGCACAGCCACCCCACGCCGTGCGCCCGGCTGTTTAAAACCCCAGGGCCGCCCGACTCCAGCTGCACAGACAGGGGCGACGGGAGGGCTGCAGCCTCGCTGGCTCTGCCAACCCGCGGAATCCTGAAGCAGGAACCCAGGAGCCCCCTGTCCCTCCTGCTGGACAGACAAGGAGTGGGCGGCGACGGTCACCCGGGGCCATGACCAGAGCTAAGGCTTCCACGGCGCTGGCAGCGCGCCCAGCCCGGTGCCAGAGCTCCTGACACCTCTCGCCAGCCCCTCACGGCCACTGTGGAGCAGCAGGAACAACCGGCGTCCTCCGTATGTCACACGTGAGGACACGCAGCACACGGGTCAAGTGACTTTCCCAGGGGCACGCAGCGGATGAGCCGGCCCCTGCAATCCCGCCTGTGCGGGGCCTGAGCCCTGGCCATCCCTGCGAGCCACCGCTGAGCATGAGACGAGTTCGGGGAAGGGGAAGGGACGCGGGGGGGCCGCAGAGCCTCTCTGGGTGCCACTGGGCCGCTGAGCCCTCCTGGGAAGGAGCGTCAGAGGGGGAGACCGTGGCTCCTCCCCCGGGGTCCTAGGGGCGGGCGGTGCCGGGAGGCGCCAGCCGAGGTGACCCTGCCACGGCTGCCAAACCACCCAGGAAATCTCCCAAGCGCTGTCCCCGCCGTCCTGGGCTGGGCACCGGCCTGGGGAGAGGCGTGGAGCCAGTCAAGCTGCCTCCCTGCCCAGCTCCCTTCCCTGTCTACAAAGAGGGCAGCGACAGCGCCGCACGGTGGCAGCCCACGCCAGGTGCAAGGCAGTGGGCTCGGAGCCGCTGGTCACCTGATCTCAGTCACGTCCGACTTGTCCAGCTTCTGCAACTCCAGCTTGGCGGCCTCCAGGATGGGCATGACCTCGGCCAGCGCCGTCTCGGCCTCGGCCTTCTCCACCGCGATGACCTTGTTCTGCTCCTCGATCTCCATGGCCTTCTCCTCCGCCAGCTTCTTCTTCTCCTCCGCTGCGGGGCAGGCGGGTGAGCGGGGCCACCGGCAGGGTCCCCATGGTGCCCCGGCTCCCGCCCCAGGGTGGCCGCTCCACCGCGACCTTCCTCAGTCACCACCCACCTAACCCTACCCCGTCTCTCTCTGTCTCCGGCTCTGGCTCTCTCTATCTCTCTCTGTTTTTCTGTCTCTGTCTCTCTCTGTCTCTCTCTGGCTCTGTCCCTATCTCTATCTCTGTTTCTCTGTCTCTCTGTCTCTATCTCTATCTCTATCTGTGTCTTTGTCTCTCTCTGTCCCTCCACTTCTCCACACTCCTTGCTGCCCCTTTGCCCTGTGACCCTGACCAGACTGAAGTGTCCCTCAGTCATCGCCTGTCCATCGTCCCCCTGCAGGACGCACCTCCTCACAGGCTCGAAGCCCAAGGCCCCTCCCAGGAGCGGCACCAGGGTGAACAGAGCCCCCAAAGTGGCATGATGGGAACCCCACCAGCATCTCATTTGGAAGTAAAGTGACCATTTGGGATGAGGTCGTGATGTCCTGATGAGAAGGCCCCAAATGCCCCCACAAATGTGCGCAAGTACGTGTCAGGAAATGTGAGAGGAAAAGAATTTAAAGAGGACCACGCAAGACTTCGGGGAGGAAAACCAGCGACATCAGGGGCGTATGTCCCCGAGCCGGGCGCGCAGGTCCGGACAGCCCGCGTCTCTGTCCGGCGGCCCCAGCCCGTCCCACAGGCCTGTGTGCCCGGCGCCCGCTCACCGATGGCCGTGTTGGTGGCAATCTCCTCCAGCAGGGTCTCGCAGGCGGCGGACTTCTCAGCAAGCACGACCTTCTGTTCGGCCAGCTTCTCGTTCAGCTCGTCCAGCTGCACGGTGGCCTCCTTCAGCTTGTCCAGCCCGCCCTCCAGCCGCTTGCACTGAGCTGTGAATCCACAGACAGCACCGGTCACCACCACGGCACCCCGAGCCCCCAGGCACACGCTCCATGTGCCTCCCTGGGACTCGCCCCAGTCACTGCCAGGGCGGCGGGGGAGGGCTTGTCTCCCACTCCAGAAGTGGCCTCCACCACAGTCAATCTGAACACAACGCCCCCCAAGCCAGGCGTGGTGGCCCATGCCTGTAATCCCAGAACTCAGGAGGCTGAGACAGGAGGATTGCCGTAAGTTTAAGGTCAGCCTGGGCTACATATCGAGACCTTGTCTCAAAAAAACAAAAACAAAAAAAGACAGCAGCTCCCAGACCAGAGCCTTTTCTAAACAGCCCCTGTCCACAAAGCATTTTGGCCCAAACATCTGTGCAGTCAGCGCTGAAAATAAAAATCAGGGTGCACCTCGACCTACCCATGAGCTTCCTGAGGAAAACCTGCTTCAAAAAAAGGCCAGTACAGGTGACCATAGTGGCACACACCTGTCTTCCCAGCACTCCAGGAGGCTGAGGCAGGAGGACTGAAAAGTTCGAGCCCAGCCTGGGCAACTTAGCCATTTAGGGAGATGCCGTCTCTACATAAAAAATGAAAGAAGTGCTGGGGATGTCATTCAGTAAAAAGACCCTGGGTTCAATCCCCAGTACTGGAGGAAGGAAGGCAGGCAGGAAGGAAGGAAGGAAGAGAAAAGGGAGGAACGAAGGGAGGGAGGAAGGAAGGAAAGAAGAGAGGCCCAGATGCTCGCTCCTGAGGAGCGAGGCCCCAACGGTCAGCCCTCTGCCCTTGCCTATGTTGTACTGGGTTTTCTCGTCCAGCAGCCTGGAATACGAGTGAATGAAATCCAGGTAGTTCTTGGGGGTGACGTAGTTGCTGCGCCTCAGCTTCTGCAGAAACTGCTTGCTGAACTCTCCCACGGACTCGTGCACCAGCACCACGTGCTCCACGAGGTCGTCGATGTTCTCCGCCGGGATCATCGAGTTGTCCCCTAGGAAGCAGGGCCGGAAAGTGTGGCAGAATGACCCCCCACCCGGGCCCCGCCACCCCGCTCCCTGCCAGCACCCTAAAGGGCTGCAGACGGGGACCCCGGCAGACCCACACACACCAGCGTCGTGCAACACACCTCACGGTGGCCGGGAGGGGAAGGGGAGGCACCGTGACCTCCCTGGGATGGACGGAGAGGGACGTGGCCACCGGACGGGCGAGTCCACCACAGAAAGGAAGGACACAGTGACCCACGCTGCCCGCGGCATTTCAGACGACAGACGCGGCGTGTGGGCACAAACGTCGTGCAGCACCACTTATGTGAGCTGTCCACGCCAGCGAGCGTGCACAGCTCAGAGCCGCTGGAGGGGGCCCGGGCCGGGCAGGGAGCCGGGGTGTGCATGGGACAGGACAGAGGCGCAGTTCAGGATGGAAAGTTCCCAAAATCACAGTGGCGACGGCTACACACGAGGAATGTAATTAATCCCAGAAGTACAATTCTCTAACTTTTTTTTTTTTTTTTTTTTCGGTTTTTTGGTTTTTTTTCCGGTACCAGGAATCGAACTCATGACCTTGTGCTTGCCAGGCAGGCGCTGTGCCGCTGAGCTAAATCCCCAGCCCCCTTCTCTAACATTTTTTAAAATTCGTAAAAGAAAGAAATCAAGAGAGCGGTTACCATTCTGGGCCACAACCCCCGACCTGGAGATACCTCTAACATGGAAGGCCAATCCTGCTTCCCAACAGGCCAGGGACTCCAGAGAGGCCACACCACACCCCTGCCCTGTCACTGCCCGGTCGGCCACCTCCCCAGGGGCCGAGAGGGCTTATTCAGTCTTTCTCAGCCAGATCCCCATGCCAGCACACACTGGGCTCAAGGCAACCTTCTATGATCTGCTGGAAGAATTCATGATAGTATTTAGGGCCAAGAGGACAGCACTTGGGCCACCTGGAGATAGCGATGTGCATTGTTCTCTTTTTTCTTTTTTCTTTTTCTTTTTTTTTTTTTTTTTTTTTGAGACAGGGTCTCACTGTGCAGTTCAGGCTGGCCTTGAACTCACTATGCAGCCAAGACTAGCCTTGAACTCAGGGTGATCCTCCTCCTTCAGCCTCCCAAATGCAGGATTACAGCGCTATCTCCTATTAAACGAAAGTCTGACCCAAAGTATTGATTCACCCAGGTTCTGCAGATCTGATCTTGAGTTATACCACCGAATAGCATGCACAAAAACTTTACCTAATGAATCCCCATATTTTATGGAGCAGTCATAACAACTCTAGGAATTAACTCTAAGCAAATTCCAGGCAGTGCTATTTATAATACGGAATGTAAATCCAGGTGCTAACCCAAGGAAACGGCTGATTCCCCTATGGAACCAGGGTATGCTACCTGCGACTGGCAGACTACAGCCCAAACGATAAATCCAGCTTACCACCTGTCTGTGTAAATAAAGTTTTACTGGGACGCAGCCACAGCCGTTCATTTACACACTGTCTGTGATGGCACTCCGGATATAACTGCAGAACCGAGCAGTGGCAGCCAAGGTACTGTTTACCACCTGGACCGTTCCGAAGAATCTCGCCGGCCCCTGAGTTCTATCATCAGAAGGGTCATTCTCGTGCCTTCCTTCCCAGAAAAATTCCACTGTGATCTCTTCCAAAGCTCGCTTGGAAGGGCTATTTATTATTTATTGCATACAAATTTATTTGTAAGATTGAAACTATTTATAAGGTTATGCAGTGGCATTTGTCATAAATCTGTTAAGTCTACAGAAAAAAATGTTCCCTGAAAAGGAACTGACTTGCTCTCATATTCAAGGATTAACATCTAAGGCCCATGCTGTTGGAAACTGGACAGAGAGAGTCCGAGGTGGCAGATGATCAGTCCACCAAGCAGTCCTGGGTGTCATTTGGGCTGGGGCAGCGCACTTTGTCTACGAAGGGCCAAGCCATCGTGGCACGGTGTCTGTTGCACTGGCTGGACTTTGCAGCTGTGGCACAAAGCAGCCATGGATGGAATGGGAATTGGTGAGTGAGTTTGTGTTCCAATAAAACTTTATTCATCAGAACAAGCACTGAAGCGCACGTGGCAGCAGGCCACTGAATGCCAACTCCCGATTTTAATGTTCCCTAACGATTTTTATTCTAATTATGCCTTTAAGTCTCCTGAAATCCCTTTGGACTCATACACAACACAAACCAGACACACTAACGCTAAGAAGTCATTCGTTAGCGGTTCACAGGGAAGGGATATACGGATCAGAAGGCAAAGTCAGAGGAGTGCTAACGAGCTGCTTCATTAGACCACTGACGACGTGGTCCTTACCTAAGAATGACCTTGCGACTGCGTTCAGGGCTTGGGGAGGCCACGGCATGAACCAGTCAATGCCAGTGTTATTCACCAGGCCTAGCAAGGAAAGAGAGAGAGAAATGGTCCCTCTGCGGCCCAGAGCCACACGGGAGCCCCGAGCCATCTGCAGAAGCCACCGACGCAGTGGCCAAGCTGTGCGTGCCCAAGCCTGGCTTCCGGAGCAGAGCTCCCGGCACCGAGCCTGGGCACTGCTGACCTGGCGGGGGTGATCCTCCCACGCCCATGACACCGCTGGCTGTGCACCCTTGTGCCTGCCCTTGAGCTGTCACCGCTAAAAATACTTCCAGGCACAGCCAAGTGCCCCCTGGGGAGCCGCCCCCACTTAGGAAACTCCTTTTTTTTCAGCAGTGGGAGCTGAACCCAGGCCCTTCCCACTGAGCTACATCTGCAGCCCTTTAGTATTTTGAGACAGGGTCTTGCTAAAATGCTAAATTGCCCAGGCTGGTATTGAACTTGCAATCCTCCTGCCTCAGCCTCTCAGGGGGCTGGGATCACAGGAGTGTACCAGGCCCAGCTAAAACTATGTGCTAAAGGTGGGCACGATGGTTTCTACGAGGCTGGCAGAACTGTCCCAGTCGGGAGGGGCAGGAAGCCACCTTCCCCTGCTGTGGGCCCTGTCCTTGGGAGCATGAGCCTGTCCCCGAGTCAGAAGGGCTCCCCGAGTGCAGGGCCCCGTTTCCCATTTCCCTTCACCAACAGAAGCTCCGGAAGCGGATGGGTTCCCACGCCCTGCTGCACCAGGCAGAGGGGTCTGCAGCCTCCGCTCAGAGGTACCTGGGAAATTCCTGCAGCGGGTCCTCAGTGTGTCTCCAACGGGAGACATGCCCAGGACGATGTGCAGGTTGTTGGCGCTCTTGTTCACGAAGTACTGCCACACGGACTCCTTCGCCGGGCCCATGCCGTGCTTGGAGGCCTCCTGGGTGAGCTGGCTCAGGATGCCCTCCTTCTCCTCCTCCTGGAACAGCGCGGGGACGATGCCTGCAGCACGAACACCCGGGAGCTGGCTCGACATCTCGGTCGTCAGCTCCCCAGGCCCCGGCGGGAATGACGGAAGCACACGGTGACAGAGGGGGCAGAGGCTGCAGGCTAGGGCCAGGGCAGCTGAATCGCCACACCGCCCTGGACACAGGATGTGCCATGCTCTTAAGCCCCAGACGCCTTCCCGAGCAGAGGAGTGGACACAGAGGTCAGCAGCTTCCAAGGGCCATAATTCATTACCGCCAAGTCGGGTGGCTTCAAACAACAATGAAACTCATCCTCGCACGTTCTGGAGGCCAGAGGCCTGAAACCAAGGTGTCACTGGGCTGCGTCCCACCAAAGCTCTAAGTGAGGACGCGTCCTGGTGGTTCCAGGTGGCTCCTGGCTCGTGCCCATGTTACTCCTGTCTCTGCCTCCGTCCTTCCAAAGCCTCCTCCTCCGTCCTCAAATCTCCCTTCGCTTCCTCTCATAAGGACAGTGGTCACTAAATTCAGGACCAACCCCAAATCCAGGACATCACTGCAAGATTCTCAAACACATCAGCACAGACTCTGTCTGAAAAGGGTCCCAGTCAGGGCTCCGGGACGTGGAGGTTAGGGTCAGTGTCAGCGTGACTGGCTTGGGGCCCCCCAGGGACTGGTGGAGCGCTCTCCTGGGCGGTCTGGGTGGTCGTGGAGGGGAGGTCTTGGGGTCTCTGTCTGGCCCCTGGCCCCGTCCTCTCTAGCACTTCCCCTGCGCTGCTTCCTGGCCTCCATGAACTAAGCAGCCTTCCCCCACCGCACCCTTGCCCCACAACTCGCCTGCCTCGGAGCCACCCTGCCTGGACAGACTCCCCCAAAACCAGAGCCAAGTCAAACTCCTCCTCCTTAGAGCTGCAGGTACCGAGTATGGCGTCTCAGCTGACTGATACAGTGACACAGGCCGATCTCTGTGCAGCCTTCTACAGCAGCTCTATGCTCAGTTTCCTCAGCCGTAAAACCAGAGAGTGAAGGTTCCTTCCTCATCAGGCTTTCGTGGAGACTAAGCAACGTGTGACAAGCACGACAAGGGCTTGGTGGACACTCAGAAGCCCCAGCTGTCCCTCTGACTGCCACGGCGACTACCCAGGTGAAGAGAACAGGGCGGACAGGGCCCCAGGAGCCTCACGGGAGACGAGGAGGTCAGGCCCATCTTGGGTGTGGAGAGGCACTGGGCAGTCAGTCCGAGCGGGCCGGGTGGGCGGGGCGGTGGCCGCAGTGGGCAGTACCTGAGGTCAGCATGTTGTTGATGAGCTCCAGGAAGCCCTCCTCAGCCACGTGTGCGTCCGTGAACAGGAAGATTATCGTCTTGTTCTCGATCCCGAGCTTCAGGTACAGGCTCTTCAGGTCTTCCCGGAAGCTGTTCTCGGAGTAGCCTCGGCTGAGCATGATCTCAAACACCTGGGGATGCAGAGCCCGGGTCACCAGGGCCAGCGGGCTCGGGCCAGCGGGAGGAGCCCCGCGCCCAGGGAGAGTGCCAGGCAGCGCAGCGTGCAGGAGGATCCCCGTCCACGGGGAGGAGGGGCACGGGTGGTGGGGCCAGGTGACCCAGGCCAGCCTCAACGCCGTGCAGTGGCACAGGCTCAGGGGAGGCGGAGCCTAAGCCACAGCACTCTGATTAGGCCGCAGCACGACTAGCAGCCTGTGTGTACACGTGTGTGGGAGGTGCAGGTGTGCAGACGTGTGTCCCCGTGGGAGTGCAGGGGTGTGCAAAGAAAAACACGATAGAGTGCGCTCCCTGTCACACAAGTGAGGTCCGCAGAGTCACAGCCAGGGAGGGAAAAGACCCAGGCCCACGGAAAGGGCACAGGGAGGGCCAAGGACAGAAGGAGAAGAGTGTGTACCCCAAAGTGTAGGTGTGACACACCTGCAGCCTGGGCCTGTGCCACACACTAGACAGATTGTAACAGGCATCAGGAAGTTATGTGGAGTCCATTTGCTTTTTTGCAGGACTGGGGACTGTGCCCAGGGCCTTCCCACTGAGCTATGGCCCCAGACCCTTTTTATTTTCTCATTCTGAGATGGGGTCTGGCCCAGGCTGGCCTTGAACTTGCAATTCTCCTGCCTCAGCCTCCAGGGTGCGGGGATTACAGGTGTGCACCACCACACCCGCCTGAATTCTTAAACTGGACAACCCTGCTCACACATGCAGCGGACATGAACGAGGAGCCACAGCCACGCCCCACCTTCTCCACAGTTTGCTTCAGCTCAGGGCGCCCAGAACTTTGGAAACACATCAGACTGAAAGTGACAGGAAGAGCTCCATCCCCTGCTTCCCCTCTGTCTCAGCCGCACACACCATGCACGCCCACCGTCACACTCACAGTTGTGCAGATGCACACCCTGCACACCGTCACACGGTCACTCTTCGTACAGCCGTTCCGTGAACAGTCGCACAGCCATGCGTGACCATTCACACTCAAGGTCATACAGCCACGTGCCCTGTAACACTCACACACACCTTTGCACTCACACATTCACACAAGCTTCCACACAGACACCCCCCAGCCTCGCACGCACACACACTCAAGGCCACAGTGCGCTGCCAGCCGCGCCAGCTCAGACCCCTGTGCGGTGCTGCTCGAGGCCTTCTCCCCGGGGGCCCGAGTGTCTGGCACCCCTTGGTGCAAGCGCTCCTGTGGCCTCCCTTCCCGCCCCCTCCCCTCCTAGGCCCTGTCCCTGCCCAATGTCCCTGCCCTCTTTCCAGCCCCATCCAGGGCAAATGACGTGGGGGCACCTGCGAGGGTCTAAGAGCAGCGGGAGGAGCAGGAGCAGGGCACTGCTGCCAGGGACGTCGGACGGCGCAGCCACCGTGGGGAGCGGTTTGCTGGCTCCCAAGCTGGGCCACAGCTATCCTGGGACCAGCAGTCCCACTCAGGAGTGTGACCCAAAGTGACTGAGGCGTGCGGCCCCACAAGGACTTTCTGGATGGTCTCAGCAGCACTGGCAACAAAAGGCCAGAGGGTGCAGCCGGCCCACGAGCCACCACGGGGGAGCAGATACGCGTACGGCAGAAGCACACGGACACCAGCGACATGAGTGAGCCTGAGCCTGGGACAACACAGAACGCCACATCCAGTCACGTAACAGCGTAGGACTGAGACATCCACAGAGACAGACCACTGAGGGCCTGCAGGGAGGGGCCGGCGGGGCCGGGGCCGGCCGGGGGCTCACCTCGCAGCCGGCCGTGAAGGCGGCCAGCCGGGCCAGGGACTGCTTGCCCGAGCCGCCAACCCCCACCAGCAGCGCGTGGCCGCGGTCCATGCGGATGATGCGATGCACGCGGGTCAGGTGCTCCAGCGCATCGTCGAACAGGACCAAGTTCATGGGGGTGTTGGTTTCGTTATACTCCTCAAGGATTTCCTGATTTTCAGAAAAATAAACAAGCAAATGCCAGATCGCTTTGTCTTAGAAGCAAACTCTCCTCTCCCCTGGAAGAGATTAATGGAGGACCCGCTTCCCCTCGCTGAAGCTTTAGAGTGCTTGAAGTAATTAAGTCATCTGGGCTTAAGCGGCCCAGTCTGGCTTTCACAATCGGCATTTCCATCTGCTGGTGTTTGATCGGCCAGCAACGAGCCGCAGCAGATTACAGATGTCCCCGCCACCGGCTCGGACACACGCCCGTGCTCCAGGCCCTGAGACGGAGTGGGGCGCCGGACACTGTGCTCCGGGAGGAGGCCAGAGCCGGCAGGGCGCCCCGAGCCCCGGCAAGCAGGCTCCGCCTGACCTGGAACAGGGCCTTGGCCGCCTCGTAGTCCTGGATGTCCTCGTAAACGCGTGGCTCCTCGTCATGCAGCGCCATCCGGAAGTCCCCAAACAGGATGGGGTTCCTCATCACCATCTCCTCGTCATCGGCAAAGTGTTCCGAAACCAAGCTCCGTATGTGCTCTTGCACCTTAAAACACGAGCACGCTCGTGGACCTGAAGTCAGAACCGCGCGGGCAGCACCCCCCACAGGGAAGGACCTTCGCTCTCGTCGCCCCAGGGCTCGCCCCCCCACCCCACCCCGCGGCTGCGTGGCAGTTAATAACCGGCTCTCTTTGCCTGTTGACCTGGTACTTAGTGTCGATTTTTCTACAGTCGGTGTCCTATGTAAAAAGGAATTGGTGTTCGGGGGCTTTCGGACTTTTTAACCCTTGTTTGTTCTACTAAGAGAAGAATCTGCGGCTGGCGTCCCCCTGCCAGCGCGCCCTCCGCACTACTGACCAGCAGCTTGTCGGCCTCGCTGATCAGCCGGTCGTGGAAGACCCGCAGGCACTCGTTCCTCCAGACCCTCACCATCTGCGCCTCGGTCTGGAACCTGCAGGGCGGAAAGGGCAGGGTACGCGGGAGGCCTCCCGGGACAGGCCGCCCGCTGCATGCCTGGCGGGGGCCCGGGAGCCGCGTTGCTGCGGTCTTTTCTCTTCCCTGGCTGGTGTTAGTGCAGCCCAGCAGAGGGGCAAACTGAAGAAAGACCACGAAGTCACCGCCCACAGCTCGCCCGGCCGCAGGGCAGAACAGCGCACCCTGCACCGTGGGCGCAAGGACCAAAGTGCCCGACAGGCATCTGCCCCCTCACCAGCTAGAATACACAAAAACCAGCACCGGAGCCACCGGCACCTCCTCTGTCTAAGAACCAACACCACCTGGATCCAGCTCCAGAATGTTCCCTGGCTCCTGGCCCACGGCCGCTACCCTGCCCGGACACCTGGCACTTACAGGAATGAAAGAAATCACCATACCCACGGGATACTGGGTATACTTTTTTTTGTGCCAGGAATCAAACTCAGGACCTTGTGCTTGCCAGGCAGGCGCTTCGACCACTGAGCTAGATCCCCGGCCCCCAGTGGGTGTACTTTAGTGAGCAAAGCAAACCCACCGCTCCGGGTTGGTGAGGACAAGGCCGTTAAAAACCCGCGAGAGATCACGGAGGTTGAAGATGTAGTGGAACTTGGAGGGGGTGGGGGGCAGGTCCTGGATGGTAACTTTGTACAGCGCCAGCGTGCAGGACGTCAGCTTGCTGCCCACAGCCACGATGCTCTCGTGGAAGTTCTGGAGGAATGAAAAGACCCCACGTCCAGTAAAAGACAAATAAACAGCAGATAGTGTTCGCGGACACTGGGACACACAGGACAGCGTGGGTGAACCCTGAGGATAGCATCAGCCACGGCAACAGAAAGTAGAAACCAGGCTGCCAGGGCTTGGGTGCTGGGATGGGCACAGGTTTCCTCCAGGGCGGGGAAATCCCAGGATTAGATCTTTTTGGCAGGGGGCGCTGCACACACTGGGTCTGTACTAAATCCCTCTGAATGGTAACTTTAAAATGGTTAGATAAAGCACTTTTTTTTTTTTTTTTTTGGTCTTCTTGAGACAGGGTTTTGCAATGCAGCTCAGGCTGGCCTTGACCTCATAGCAATCCTCCTGCCTCCTGGGTGGTGGGATTGCCAGCCTGCACCACTATGCCCAGCCAATGCACTTTAGATTGTATAATTTTTTTGTTGTTGTTGTTTTCCGGTACCAGGAATCGAACTCACAACCTTGCGCTTGCCAGGCAGGTGCTGTGCCGCTGAGCTAAATCCCCAGCCCCAATTTTTACCATTTTTAAAAATGGGGAAAAAAGAAAAAGTACTGAAAAGCTCAGAGAAGCTGATACTGCCTAGGACTTGCATGTTCATTGCCAAGTCAGGTGCTGGGACGCCGGGGACCCATGTATCCTCGGCGAGTTTCGCGCCACCGCAGCGAGCTCACAGCTTTGCGAGTGACGAGCAGCCCAGCGCCACAGGGCCTCCCAAACACACTCGGCCACTCCGGCTTTGACACGCAGCGGGCTGGAAGCCTAGGTGTGCACAAGTCCACTGCGAGCCAGGTCCTGACTTCCCAATTTCGTGGACCCTTCCTCCAGGAAAACATCAAAATTCTACTTGAGGGGTTGGGGATTTAGCTCAGCGGCACAGCGCCTGCCTGGCAAGTGTAAGGTCATGAGTTCGATTCCCGGTACTGGAAAAAAAAAATTCTACTCGATGACTGTGTTAATATGAAGATGAAGTTTTCTTTTGATTATTAAAGAAGTTAAGGTGTCAAACGTATCTCCAGACCCAGGCACTGGACGTGCTGCGAACCCGCGTGCCATGCTATCCCACACAGCGTCCCCAGCACAGACTTGCCCTTCAAATCAAGTTACCTCGGTGTGGCCTTTCAGGATGGAGAAGTAGATCAAGTGCAAGGACTCCTCGGAAGGAAACGGCACGTTGAAGACATTGAAGAGTGAGATGAAGCGCGGGTCGACCTCGTTGCGGCCCCCTCCGGCCTTGCCCATGGCGGCGATGAAGCCGAGGTCCCGGATGCTCTTACAGGTCAGCTCCTTCCCGCGGTCGTACAGGTAGCCCCGCTCCAGCAGCAGCCTCAGCAAAGCAATGGGCTGCTGGGTGCCGTATTCGTCCACCTCGGGTGTTCCAGAGGGAAGAGAGGACAGCAGCATGAGGACACGGGCTCAGCGGGCCTTGCTGACAGCCTCGACTGGGGCTCAGGGCCCTGTCACTCTCGGGGCAGCCCAGACTTAGTGTCCTAGGGCTTCTCAAAGTGTGCCGTGACGTATTCATCGTGACTGCCTCAAGCCCGTCACCCTCGCTGGACTGTAGGCTCTGTGAAGGTGGGGACTGTACAGGGCTAGCACACTGCGTGACAGCAGCCCCGTGGGAGGCTCGACAGTTACTGGGTGGACAGATGGACCGGTGGACGGATGAAGCAGCCTGTATGCCCATCAACTGATGAACAGGCCAAGAAAATGCGGTATTTATGTACCACGGAGCACTGCTCTGCCATAAAGAGAGATAAACTGGAGTGCTTTGTAGGGAAACAGACGCACCTTGAGACCATAATGTTAAGTGAAATAAACCAGAACACACGCTTGAATATTGTGGGTCTCTCTGATATGAGAAGCCCAAAGTATAAATAAAGAGCAAAATAAAAGATAGGTGATAGGAAGTAGGGAAAGAGATCTTTCTCAAAAGGGAAGGGGGTCAAGGGATGGAGCGGGAGAAAGGGGAGGGTGAGGGAATGAAAAAGAAGTGTGCTACATACACGCATCAGCTCCACACAAGGAGTGGAGATGTCATGTACAATGATCATGCATTAATGAAAATGTAAGAGCAAGGGTAGGTGCATGGATGGATGGATGGATGGATGCAGGGATGGATGGATACATGGATGGATGGATGGATGGATGGAATGATAGAGAGGTGGATGGATGGATGGACAGGGATGGATGGATGGATACATGGATGGATACACGGATGGATACATGGATGGATGGATGGATGCATGGATGCATGGATGGATGGATGGATGGATGGATGGATAGATGGATGGATGGATGGATGGATACATGGATGGATACATGGATGCATGGATGGATGCATGGATGGATGGATACATGGATGGATGGATGATGGATGGATG